AGTGAGAGAGAGTGAGTGAGCAAGAGTGAGTGAGTGAGTGAGCGGTAGAGCGAGCGAGTGAGAGTGAGTGAGTGAGAGAGAGTGAGTGAGCAAGAGTGAGTGAGAGCGAGTGAGTGAGAGTGAGTGAGCAAGCGGTAGAGCGAGTGAGTGAGTGAGAGTGAGTGAGTGAGTGAGCGAGCGGTAGAGCGAGTGAGTGAGTGAGAGTGAGCGAGCGAGAGAGAGAGTGAGCGTTAGAGCGAGTGCGAGTGAGCGAGCGAGCGAGAGAGTGAGCGAGCGAGCGGCCCGTTCTCGACGGGCGCCCCGCACCTGCCGTAGCGCCGCGTGGAGGGTGGGTGGCGGGATGATGACTCCACGCAGCGGGCCCAGGTCGCACACGTCGTCCTCGCCGTCGTCACCGTCGTCACCGCCGCCGTCGCCGCCGTCACCGCCATCGCGGCCTTCCGCGTCGCCGCCGCGGCCGCGGGGCCGGCAGGCGTCGTGCACGCAGCGCCGGCACCAGGCGCAGCGAGCGTCGCACAGCCGCGGCTCGGCGCCGCACGGCGCGCCGCACGCGGCGCACGCGGAGCACAGCGGCACGGCGCCGCGCACCCACAGGTGGCGCATGCGCCCGCCGGGAGCCGGGGAGCACCTGGGCACGGGCGCGGTCAGAGACACGGCGAGAGACGCGGAGAGAGAGACACGGTGAGAGACAGGGTCAGAGAGACACGGTCAGAGAGACAGGGTCAGAGACACGGCGAGAGACAGGGTCAGAGAGACACGGCGAGAGTGGTCGGAGAGACACGGTGAGAGAGACACAGCGAGAGAGACACGGCGAGAGAGACACGGCGAGAGAGACACGGCGAGAGTGGTCAGAGAGACACGGTGAGAGAGACACGGTGAGAGAGAAACGGTGAGAGAGACACGGTGAGAGAGACACGGCGAGAGAGACACGGCGAGAGAGATGGTGAGAGAGAGACTTGGTCAGAGACACGCGGAGGGGACAGAGACACGGAGACACACAAACACCTGGGCACCGGTCAGAGACACGCAGAGGAGGTGAGGAGACACGCAGAGGGAGAGAGAGGCACACAGAGATTAAGACAGTGAGACACAGAGACACAGACAGAGAGTAAGACAGAGACACACAGAGAGACACGGAGACACAGACAGAGAGTAAGACACAGAGACACACACACAGAGACACGGAGACAGAGACACACACAGAGAGACACGGAGACACACACAGAGAGACACAGAGACACACACAGAGACACACACAGAGAGACACAGACACACAGACACACACAGAGACACATACAGAGTAAGACAGTGAGACACAGAGACACACACAGAGAGACACGGAGACACAGAGACACACACAGAGAGACACAGAGACACAGACACACACAGAGAGACACAGAGACACACACACACACAGAGAGACACAGAGACACAGACACGGCTCCACACTGCCACTGACATCACCTCCAGGGTGGTGTCCACGTGTCTTGCCACCCCTCCCAATTTAAGTGACCCCTAAGATATTTTAAACTTCATGCGCTCACTTCTGTTTTGAATAAACCTCGCTTCAAAACAAAATGGATTGCGTCTTAGATAAATAATTAAATCAGGAGTCACAAGACATGTGGACGCACCGTGTCAACCCACACGAGTTTTCAGGTGCATATGGCGTTACAGCCGTCCATAAATGACGTCACGCACCTGGGGGGGGGGTCAGACATTTGTGACGATGTGTGACGAGGGGGGGGGGGGGGTGAGAAATGTGACGTCACGTAAAAATGCGCAACTTTAAATCAATATAGACGACACGTTATACTTAATTAAATAGACTTGTTAATAAATGTTTTCTCCTACAACATCAGAGTGCAGCGCCACATTAAATACGCACTACAATGACAATAGTTTAAAGCGATTTGAAGCATGTTTTATTTTTTTTGGGGGGGGGAGAGCTTTGTGACGTCATATTTGAGGGGGGGGGGGTCTGACTTTGTGTGACGCCGTGTGACGAGGGGGGGTCAAAAATCGTCCAAAATCGCGTGACGTCATTTATGGACGGCCCCTTTCTCCCCTGCGACGGGACGTTGTGGGATGAACGTTGAGATGTATAAAGGGGCACGGGGTGACCCATGAGGTCTGAGTTGGTGTGTAACGAGGCAGGGCGCTGATTGGGGGTTGACGGGTTTGTGTGGAGCACCCAGGAAGTGCACGACACCACCACCTCGTCACCCACCACCTCACCCACCTCGTCACCCACCTCGTCACCCTCCACCTCGACCACCTCATCACCCACCTCCTCACCCCCCTCCTCACCCACCTCGTCACCCTCCACCTCGACCACCTCATCACTCCTCCAGTCACCTCATCACCTCGCAGCCCCCAACCTCCTCACAGCTCTCATCTCGGCCACTTTCACTCCACCACCTCACCCACCTCGTCTCCCACCTCGTCACCCACCTCCTCACCCTCCACCTCACCCTCCACCTCACCCACCTCCTCACCTCCTCACTCACCCGCCTCCTCACCCCCCTCCTCACCCACCTCCTCACCCACCTCCTCACCACCTCCTCACCCACCTCCTCACCCACCTCCTCACCCGCCTCCTCACCCACCTCCTCACCCACCACCTCACCCACCACCTCACCCACCTCCTCACCCACCACCTCACCCACCACCTCACCCACCTCCTCACCCACCACCTCACCCGCCTCGTCACCCACCACCTCACCCACCTCCTCACCCTCCACCTCACCACCTCCTCACCTCCTCACCCGCCTCCTCACCCACCTCCTCACCCGCCTCCTCACCCACCACCTCACCCACCTCCTCACCCACCACCTCACCCACCTCCTCACCCGCCTCCTCACCCACCACCTCACCCGCCTCGTCACCCACCACCTCACCCGCCTCGTCACCTCACTCACCTCCTCACCACCTCCTCACCCTCCACCTCACCCACCTCCTCACCTCCTCACCCACCTCCTCACCACCTCCTCACCTCGCCTTGCAGCGCAGGGTGCCCTCGGCCGTGGCCACGCAGGCTCCGTGGGCGCACAGGCCGCAGGTGTGGCAGCAGGAGACGTGCAGCAGGGCCGACTGCGCACACACGCAGCAGAAGGCCGGGCGGCCAAACAGCTCCACCTCGTCCCACGAGTGCCGAGAGTCGTCCTCATCCTCCTCCTCCTCTTCCCACACCTCCTCCTCCTCCGTCGCCGCCGGTTTCTCCCCCTCATCCTTTTCCTTGACGCCCTCCGCCGCCGGCGACGATGGCGGCCGCCGCCTCCACCTGCCGTGCCGGAGACGGTGGGATTGGTGAGGGAGAGGGAGGGTGAGCGGGAGATGAGACGGTGGGATTGGTGAGGGAGAGGGAGGGTGAGCGGGAGATGAGACGGTGGGATTGGTGAGGGAGAGGGAGGGTGAGCGGGAGATGAGACGGTGGGATTGGTGAGGGAGAGGGAGGGTGAGCGGGAGATGAGACGGTGGGATTGGTGAGGGGGAGGGAGGGTGAGCGGGAGATGAGACGGTGGGATTGGTGAGGGGGAGGGAGGGTGAGCGGGAGATGAGACGGTGGGATTGGTGAGGGGGAGGGAGGGTGAGCGGGAGATGAGACGGTGGGATTGGTGAGGGGGAGGGAGGGTGAGCGGGAGATGAGACGGTGGGATTGGTGAGGGGGGGGGGAGGGTGAGCGGGAGATGAGACGGTGGGATTGGTGAGGGGGAGGGAGGGTGAGCGGGAGATGAGACGGTGGGATTGGTGAGGGGGAGGGAGGGTGAGCGGGAGATGAGACGGTGGGATTGGTGAGGGGGAGGGAGGGTGAGCGGGAGATGAGACGGTGGGATTGGTGAGGGGGAGGGAGGGTGAGCGGGAGATGACACGGTGGGATTGGTGAGGGGGAGGGAGGGTGAGCGGGAGATGAGACGGTGGGATTGGTGAGGGGGAGGGAGGGTGAGCGGGAGATGAGACGGTGGGATTGGTGAGGGGGAGGGAGGGTGAGCGGGAGATGAGGCGGTGGGTGTGGTGAGGGGGGGAGGGTGAGCGGGAGATGAGGCGGTGGGTGTGGTGAGGGGGGAGGGTGAGCGGGAGATGAGGCGGTGGGTGTGGTGAGGGGGGGAGGGTGAGCGGGAGATGAGGCGGTGGGTGTGGTGAGGGGGGGAGGGTGAGCGGGAGATGAGGCGGTGGGTGTGGTGAGGGGGGAGGGTGAGCGGGAGATGAGGCGGTGGGGTTGGTGAGGGGGGGAGGGTGAGCGGGAGATGAGGCGGTGGGTGTGGTGAGGGGGGGGGGTGAGCGGGAGATGAGGCGGTGGGTGTGGTGAGGGGGGAGGGTGAGCGGGAGATGAGGCGGCGGGTGTGGTGAGGGGGGGGGGTGAGCGGGAGATGAGGCGGTGGGTTTGGTGAGCGAGGAGGGGGGGGGGTGAGCGGGAGATGAGGCGGTGGGTTTGGTGAGGGGGGGAGGGTGAGCGGGAGATGAGGCGGTGGGTTTGGTGAGGGAGGGAGGGTGAGCGGGAGATGAGGCGGTGGGTTTGGTGAGGAGGGAGGGTGAGCGGGAGATGAGGCGGTGGGTGTGGTGAGGGAGGGAGGGTGAGCGGGAGATGAGGCGGTGGGTTTGGTGAGGGAGGGAGGGTGAGCGGGAGATGAGGCGGTGGGTGTGGTGAGGGGGGGAGGGTGAGCGGGAGATGAGGCGGTGGGTTTGGTGAGGGGGGGAGGGTGAGCGGGAGATGAGGCGGTGGGTGTGGTGAGGGAGGGAGGGTGAGCGGGAGATGAGGCGGTGGGTTTGGTGAGGGGGGGAGGGTGAGCGGGAGATGAGGCGGTGGGTGTGGTGAGGGAGGGAGGGTGAGCGGGAGATGAGGCGGTGGGTTTGGTGAGGGGGGAGGGTGAGCGGGAGATGAGGCGGTGGGTTTGGTGAGGAAGGAGGGTGAGCGGGAGATGAGGCGGTGGGTTTGGTGAGGGGGGGAGGGTGAGCGGGAGATGAGGCGGTGGGTGTGGTGAGGGGGGAGGGTGAGCGGGAGATGAGGCGGTGGGTTTGGTGAGGGAGGGAGGGTGAGCGGGAGATGAGGCGGTGGGTGTGGTGAGGGGGGAGGGTGAGCGGGAGATGAGGTGGTGGGTTTGGTGAGGGAGGGAGGGTGAGCGGGAGATGAGGCGGTGGGTTTGGTGAGGGAGGGAGGGTGAGCGGGAGATGAGGCGGTGGGTTTGGTGAGGGAGGAGGGTGAGCGGGAGATGAGGCGGTGGGTTTGGTGAAGAGGGAGGGTGAGCGGGAGATGAGGTGGTGGGTGTGGTGAGGGGGGAGGGTGAGCGGGAGATGAGGCGGTGGGTTTGGTGAAGAGGGAGGGTGAGCGGGAGATGAGACGGTGAGTTTGGTGAGGGAGGGAGGGTGAGCGGGGGATGAGGCGGTGGGTTTGGTGAGGGAGGGAGGGTGAGCGGGAGATGAGACGGTGAGTTTGGTGAGGGGGGGAGGGTGAGCGGGAGTGTGGTGAGGGGGGAGGGTGAGCGGGAGATGAGGCGGTGGGTGTGGTGAGGGGGGAGGGTGAGCGGGAGATGAGGCGGTGGGTTTGGTGAGGGGGGGGGGGTGAGCGGGAGATGAGGCGGTGGGTTTGGTGAGGGGGGGGGGTGAGCGGGAGATGAGGCGGTGGGTGTGGTGAGGGGGAGGGTGAGCGAGAGATGAGGCGGTGGGTTTGGTGAGGGGGGGAGGGTGAACGGGAGATGAGGCGGTGGGTGTGGTGAGGGGGGGAGGGTGAGCGGGAGATGAGGCGGTGGGTTTGGTGAGGGGGGGGGTGAGCGGGAGATGAGGCGGTGGGTGTGGTGAGGGGGGGAGGGTGAGCGGGAGATGAGGCGGTGGGTTTGGTGAGGGGGGAGGGTGAGCGGCAGATGAGGCGGTGGGTGTGGTGAGGGGGGGAGGGTGAGCGGGAGATGAGGCAGTGGGTTTGGTGAGGGGGGAGGGTGAGCGGGAGATGAGGCGGTGGGTTGGTGAGGGGGGGAGGGTGAGCGGGAGATGAGGCGGTGGGTTTGGTGAGGGGGGGAGGGTGAGCGGGAGATGAGGCGGTGGGTTTGGTGAGGGGGGGGAGGGTGAGCGGGAGATGAGGCGGTGGGTTTGGTGAGGGGGGGAGGGTGAGCGGGAGATGATGCGGTGGGTTTGGTGAGGGGGGGAGGGTGAGCGGGAGATGAGGCGGTGGGTGTGGTGAGGGAGGGTGAGCGGGAGATGAGGCGGTGGGTGTGGTGAGGGGGGGAGGGTGAGCGGGGGATGAGGGGGGGGGTTGGGTGAGGGGGGGGAGGGTGAGCGGGAGATGAGGCGGTGGGTTTGGTGAGGGGGGAGGGTGAGCGGGAGATGAGGCGGTGGGTTTGGTGAGGGGGGAGAGGGTGAGCGGGAGATGAGGCGGTGGGTTTGGTGAGGAGGGAGGGTGAGCGGGAGATGAGGCGGTGGGTTTGGTGAGGGGGGGGAGGGTGAGCGGGAGATGAGGCGGTGGGTTTGGTGAGGGGGGAGGGTGAGCGGGAGATGAGGCGGTGGGTTTGGTGAGGGGGGGGGGGTGAGCGGGAGATGAGGCGGTGGGTTTGGTGAGGGGGGGAGGGTGAGTGGGAGATGAGGCGGTGGGTGTGGTGAGTGGGGGAGGGTGAGTGGGAGATGAGGCGGTGGGTGTGGTGAGGGGGGGAGGGTGAGTGGGAGATGAGGCGGTGGGTGTGGTGAGGGGGTGGGGGTGAGCGGGAGATGAGGCGGTGGGTGTGGTGAGGGGGAGGGGGGGTGAGCGGGAGATGAGGCGGTGGGTTTGGTGAGCGGGAGATGAGGGTGGGGGCCGTGCCCACCTCGGCTGTTGCCGCCGGCGCCGCCGCGGTGCCGCGTGGAGGCCCCCGTGGGCCCGCGGGGGCCACCGGCGGCGGTAGAGGCGGTAGAGCAGCGTGAGCAGGACGGGCGACGCCACGGCCACGCACGTCCACAGCGCCACGGCCGACAGGCCCAGCGAGACGGGGGGGGCTTCCAGAGGGGGGGCCGCGGGGGGGGCGTTCTCCATGGCGACGGCGCGGAGCGAAGAGGGGGGGGGCGACGAGGTGACCTGGAGGAGGTGGGGGGGCGGGGGGGGGTCAGAGTGAGCGGAGATGATCTTGGAGAGAATACAGCGGTGGTGTTGTCGTCACCACACGTTCACCATAGACACCACGCTTACACCACACGTTTAACACATACACCACACTCGCGTACACACCTTACCAGCGTACAGCTAGTGGCGGGCGGCGACGTCACCACGGCGCCCGTGCCAGGCTAGGTGCACTTCGAGCCTCGCTGCCGGCAGGAGGAGGAGTAGGTCACGTGACGGACCCAGCGGGGGCCACGGGTGGCCCGAGTAAGATGGCTGGCAGAGACATAGATCCACCATCGTCATCACCACCATCATCACCACCACCATCACCATCATCATCACCACCATCACCACTATCATCACCACCACCACCATCACCACCACCATCACCACCACCATCATCACCACCACCACCATCACCACCACCACCATCACCACCATCACCATCACCACCATCACCACCACCATCACCATCATCACCACCATCACCACCATCACCATCACCACCATCACCACCACCATCACCACCACCAACACAACCCGGCACACCACCATCACCACCATCACCATCACCACCATCACCACCACCATCACCATCATCACCACCATCACCACCATCACCATCACCACCATCACCACCACCATCACCACCACCAACACAACCCGGCACACCACCATCACCACCATCACCATCACCACCACCATCACCATCATCACCACCATCACCACGATCACCATCACCACCATCACCACCACCATCACCACCACCAACACAACCCGGCACACCACCATCACCACCATAATCACCACCATCACCACCACCACCACAACCCCGCACACCACCACTCCGTGCTAGCAGCCTCTGGCAGGCTGTCGGGGCCGAGCGCTGTGGATGAAGCACCCCCCCGCCCGGCCGCCTTTGTCTCCCCAGTGCCGATGTCTACCACACACACCACACACACCACACACACACACCACACACACCACACCACACACACCACACACCACATACACACCACACCACCCACCACACACACCACACCACACACACCACATCACACACACACCACACACATCACACACACCACACACACCACACCACACACACCACACACACACACCACACCACACACACCACATCACACACACACCACACACACCACATACACACACCACACCACACACACCACACACATCACACACACCACACACACCACACACACCACATACACACACCACACACACACCACACACATCACACACACCACACACACCACACACACCCCACACCACACACATCCCACACACACACCACCCACACACATCACACACACCACACACACACCACATCACACACACCACACACCCACCACATCACACACACACCACACACCCCACACCACACACCCCACACCACACACACCACACCACACACGCACCACACCACACACTACACACACCACACACGCACCACACGCACCACACCACACACTACACACACCACACACGCACCACACACCCCACACCACACACACCACACGCACCACACACGCGCTAAGCAAATCTCCGAGCCCACCTCCCTGCCCAACGCTCACCGCCGTCGCCGATGCGAGGAGGAGGAGGAGGCGGAGGAGACGGCGGAGAGAGAATCCGGATTGGGATCGGAGCAGCACGCACGCGCACACAGACAAAGGTCCCCCGTGTAGCCTCTAGCAGATTGCAGGGGCAAGTGCTGCCGGCACTGTGGCACACGAGGGGGTGGGTGGCCAGCACCACGCCCGGCCGCCTTTGTCTCCCCCCAGTGGCGATGTTTACTACGCAGCGCGCCGGGTACTCATTTTAGGCTGAGTCGACCTAGGGGAGGCCCAGGACCGGTTCAGATTAAATCGTCACTGGTATCGGTGGCCGTGGCCGGGATTCGAACTCGGGTTCGTAGCGCTAACCGCTGCGCCACCGCTCCCACACACAGGCGGTGAGACTGCCTGACACACACAGACACACACACACAAACACAGACACACACACAGGGAGTGACACTGACTGACACACACACACAGGTGGCGAGACTGCCTGACGCACACAGACACTGACTGACACACACGCAGGGAGTGAAGGCGGTGAGGGGCTGCAGGCTCCCGTGGCCGCGACCCGGATCCACATCGTGGGGTTTTTGTCGGTAGAGGCTCGGCATGCACTCGTGGTGGTGGTGGTCGTGGTGGTGGCATTGATTGGTGGGTGGTGGTGGCATTGATTGGTGGGTGGTGGTGGCATTGATTGGTGGGTGGTGGTGGCATTGATTGGTGGGTGGTGGTGGCATTGATTGGTGGGTGGTGGTGGCATCGATTGGTGGGTGGTGGTGGCATCGATTGGTGGGTGGTGGTGGCATTGATTGGTGGGTGGTGGTGGCATTGATTGGTGGGTGGTGGTGGCATTGATTGGTGGGTGGTGATGGCATTGATTGGTGGGTGGTGGTGGCATTGATTGGTGGGTGGTGATGGCATTGATTGGTGGGTGGTGGTGGCATCGATTGATTCGTGGCGGTGGCATTGATTGGTGGGTGGTGGTGGCATTGATTGGTGGGTGGTGGTGGCATTGATTGGTGGGTGGTGGTGGCATTGATTGGTGGGTGGTGGTGGCATTGATTGGTGGGTGGTGATGGCATTGATTGGTGGGTGGTGATGGCATCGATTGGTGGGTGGTGGTGGCATCGATTGGTGGGTGGTGATGGCATCGATTGATTGGTGGCGGTGGCATTGATTGGTGGGTGGTGGTGGCATTGATTGGTGGGTGGTGGTGGCATCGATTGGTGGGTGGTGGTGGCATCGATTGATTGGTGGCGGTGGCATCGATTGGTGGGTGGTGATGGCATCGATTGGTGGGTGGTGGTGGCATTGATTGGTGGGTGGTGATGGCATCGATTGATTGGTGGCGGTGGCATTGATTGGTGGGTGGTGGTGGCATTGATTGGTGGGTGGTGGTGGCATTGATTGGTGGGTGGTGGTGGCATCGATTGATTGGTGGCGGTGGCATCGATTGGTGGGTGGTGATGGCATCGATTGGTGGGTGGTGGTGACATCGATTGGTGGGTGGTGATGGCATCGATTGATTGGTGGCGGTGGCATTGATTGGTGGGTGGTGGTGGCATTGATTGGTGGGTGGTGGTGGCATTGATTGGTGGGTGGTGGTGGCATCGATTGATTGGTGGCGGTGGCATCGATTGGTGGGTGGTGATGGCATCGATTGGTGGGTGGTGGTGACATCGATTGGTGGGTGGTGATGGCATCGATTGGTGGGTGGTGGTGGCATTGATTGGTGGGTGGTGATGGCATCGATTGGTGGGTGGTGGTGGCATTGATTGGTGGGTGGTGATGGCATTGATTGGTGAGTGGTGGTGGCATTGATTGGTGGGTGGTGGTGGCATCGATTGGTGGGTGGTGGTGGCATTGATTGGTGGGTGGTGGTGGCATCGATTGGTGGGTGGTGGTGGCATTGATTGGTGGGTGGTGGTGGTATTGATTGGTGGGTGGTGGTGGCATCGATTGGTGGGTGGTGGTGGTATTGATTGGTGGGTGGTGGTGGTATTGATTGGTGGGTGGTGGTGGCATTGATTGGTGGGTGGTGGTGGCATTGATTGGTGGGTGGTGGTGGCATCGATTGGTGGGTGGTGGTGGCATTGATTGGTGGGTGGTGGTGGCATCGATTGGTGGGTGGTGGTGGCATCGATTGGTGGGTGGTGATGGCATCGATTGGTGGGTGGTGGTGGCATCGATTGGTGGGTGGTGATGGCATCGATTGGTGGGTGGTGGTGGCATTGATTGGTGAGTGGTGGTGGCATTGATTGGTGGGTGGTGGTGGCATCGATTGGTGGGTGGTGGTGGCATCGATTGGTGGGTGGTGGTGGCATCGATTGGTGGGTGGTGGTGGTATTGATTGGTGAGTGGTGGTGGCATCGATTGGTGGGTGGTGGTGGCATCGATTGGTGGGTGGTGGTGGCATTGATTGGTGGGTGGTGGTGGCATTGATTGGTGGGTGGTGGTGGCATCGATTGGTGGGTGGTGGTGGCATCGATTGGTGGGTGGTGATGGCATCGATTGGTGGGTGGTGGTGGCATCGATTGGTGGGTGGTGGTGGCATTGATTGGTGGGTGGTGGTGGCATTGATTGGTGGGTGGTGGTGGCATCGATTGGTGGGTGGTGGTGGCATCGATTGGTGAGTGGTGGTGGCATTGATTGGTGGGTGGTGGTGGCATCGATTGGTGGGTGGTGATGGCATCGATTGGTGGGTGGTGGTGGCATCGATTGGTGGGTGGTGGTGGCATTGATTGGTGGGTGGTGGTGGCATTGATTGGTGGGTGGTGGTGGCATCGATTGGTGGGTGGTGGTGGCATCGATTGGTGGGTGGTGATGGCATCGATTGGTGGGTGGTGGTGGCATCGATTGGTGGGTGGTGATGGCATCGATTGGTGGGTGGTGGTGGCATCGATTGGTGGGTGGTGGTGGCATCGATTGGTGGGTGGTGATGGCATCGATTGGTGGGTGGTGGTGGCATCGATTGGTGGGTGGTGATGGCATCGATTGGTGGGTGGTGATGGCATCGATTGGTGGGTGGTGGTGGCATCGATTGGTGGGTGGTGATGGCATCGATTGGTGGGTGGTGATGGCATCGATTGGTGGGTGGTGGTGGCATTGATTGGTGAGTGGTGGTGGCATTGATTGGTGGGTGGTGGTGGCATCGATTGGTGGGTGGTGGTGGCATCGATTGGTGGGTGGTGATGGCATCGATTGGTGGGTGGTGATGGCATCGATTGGTGGGTGGTGGTGGCATTGATTGGTGGGTGGTGGTGGCATCGATTGGTGGGTGGTGGTGGCATCGATTGGTGGGTGGTGATGGCATCGATTGGTGGGTGGTGGTGGCATCGATTGGTGGGTGGTGATGGCATCGATTGGTGGGTGGTGATGGCATCGATTGGTGGGTGGTGGTGGCATCGATTGGTGAGTGGTGGTGGCATTGATTGGTGGGTGGTGGTGGCATCGATTGGTGGGTGGTGGTGGCATTGATTGGTGGGTGGTGGTGGTATTGATTGGTGAGTGGTGGTGGCATCGATTGGTGGGTGGTGGTGGCATCGATTGGTGGGTGGTGGTGGCATCGATTGGTGGGTGGTGATGGCATCGATTGGTGGGTGGTGGTGGCATCGATTGGTGGGTGGTGATGAAATTGATTGGTAGGTGGCGGCGGCATTGGTTGGTGGGTGGATGATGGTGGCATTGATCGATGATCAGGATCTCATGAGACGATTCGTGGATCGCACCATGATGATCAGGATGTCAAGAGACGACTGATCATGTTTTTGTTTGTTGCGGTTGCACCCGCATCAAGAGCCGAATGGCTCACAGGGCGACACCAAATACATGAAAATTGAAAAAAACTGAAACTGATTTGTGCATCGAAAAAGCCCCCGTGTTAGGCCCCGCCCCTCGAAGCTGATTGGCTCCCTTCGACATTAACATAATTTATTATTAATTTATCGCGGATTCTGGTGGTTTTCGCGGGAAAGGCGCCGATTGGTCCGATTCGCCGCCGGTGGGCGTGGTCTCGTCCGACGGGAGCCAATCACGGGGCCGCGAGCGGTTGTCACCAAGGAGGAGGCCGAGGCTTCGTCTGGCGGGAGGCCTCAGCAGGCCTCAGCAGGCCCCTTCGCGGGTCGCCTCAGAGATGAGCGACGCGGCGGCGGCGTTCGACGGAGGAGGCGGAGCCCTCCACGAGGAGGGTAGGCGAAGCGGTGTCTCGGTGGTGGTGGTGGTGGGGATCCCGGGGGGAGACGCGGGGTGGTTTTTTGTTGTTGTTTTTCCGCGAGCGACTCGTCAAGCCTCGGCTCGCCTAGGCAGCCCCGCGGGCTTTGAGGTGCCTGCGGCGCCTACGCCGTGAGGGTGTGGAGGAGTTTATTTTGTGTTTAACATTTTTCCTCAACTATGAGACATCTCCTTTACCAGTGGCAAAATATAGTAATAGGTTTTTACCCTTTCGACTGGTACAAAAACTGACACCTTTATACGAGGCATCATGTTTGCAATAACCACAACACAAGCAGTCAAGGACAGTGCATATCATTATCATAGTTTATTTTTGTTTGCATTTTGACTGCTCGTGTTGTGGTTATTGCAAACATGATGCCTTGTATAAAGGTGTCAGTTTTTGTACCAGTTGAAAGGGTAAAAACCTATTACTACTATTTTCCTCAACTCTTTTTGCATTCATCTTCTTGGTTCTTTCGGTAAAGTCACGTAGAATGGAAATAATAAAATAATAAAATAAAACATACAGACGCTGTCTTTCCGACAGACCTGTTCTCCACCTGAGGACGGCTGCTTGCGTTGTGGCCGAAACGTCGTGAGAATTTATTGAATTATGTTGTATTTTTTTTAGTTTATTATTTCCATTCTACGTGACTTTACCGAAAGAACCAAGAAGATGAATCCCTGCAGTCACGAAAACTTTAAATCGAAATCTTTTTGCATTGTTGGTGTAACGTTCTCACCCCCGTGCCCCGACTGGGCATCGGTTGTGAAAGAGCTTTGTAACTCATCGGATTGCTCCTGCAGTCTAAATCAAGATTCTGGGTTACTCGGGTCGAGGCGAGCGGGGGGCTGGTGGGTGTCTGAAACGTCGCCCACGATCACTGGCACGCCGTGTCACTCGCTCGCGTCATTTGTTATTCACTGACACGCCATGTCACTCACTGGCAATGTGACTCACTCACACAATCACACACTCAATGTCACTCACTGACACAATCACACACTCACAATCACACACTCACACAATCACACACCAATGTCACTCACTGACACAATCACACACTCACACAATCACACACTCAATGTCACTCACTGACACAATCACACACTCACTCACAATCACACACTCACACAATCACACACCAATGTCACTCACTGACACAATCACACACACAATCACACACCAATGTCACTCACTGACACAATCACACACTCACTCACAATCACACACTCACACAATCACACACTCACACAATCACACACCAATGTCACTCACTGACACAATCACACACTCACAATCACACACACAATCACACACCAATGTCACTCACTGACACAATCACACACTCACTCACAATCACACACTCACACAATCACCAACTCAATGTCACTCACTGACACAATCACACACTCACAATCACACACTCACACAATCACACACCAATGTCACTCACTGACACAATCACACAATCACACACCAATGTCACTCACTGTCACAATTACACACTCACTCACAATCACACACTCACACAATCACCAACTCAATGTCACTCACTGACACAATCACACACTCACAATCACACAATCACACACCAATGTCACTCACTCACACAATTACACACTCACTTACAATCACACACTCACACAATCACCAACTCAATGTCACTCACTGACACAATCACACACTCACACAATCACACACCAATGTCACTCACTGACACAATCACACACTCACTGACACAATCACACACTCACAATCACACACTCACACAATCACCAACTCAATGTCACTCACTGACACAATCACTCACTCACAATCACACACTCACACAATCACACACTCACACAATCACACACCAATGTCACTCACAGACACAATCACACACTCACTCACAATCACACAATCACTGACACAATCACACACTCACTGACACAATCACACACTCACTGACACAATCACACACTCACTGACACTCACTGACACACCATGTACTCCCTGACACAATCACACACTCACTCACACACTGACACACCGTGTCACTGACTCACTAAGTCACTCACAGACAATCACACACCATGCCACTCACTGACACAATCACACACTCCATGTCACTCACTGACACACCAAGTCGCTCACTTGCATAATCACACACTTCTAGATTAGAAGCTTTCGTGACTGCAAGGATTCATACTCTTAGATTTTTTCGGTAAAGTCACGTGGGTAGAAATACATAATAAAAATAATATAAATAATAATAGAAATAAAATAATACTGTATACAGTAAATCTAGCTGTGACAGTCCCACCTGATGATGGAGACTTGTGTTGCCTCTGAAACGTCGTGATTTTTTATTTTATTTCTATTATTTCTATTTTTATTACTTAATTTTACCTACGTGACTTTACCGAAATAACCTAAGAGTAATCACACACTGAATGTCACTCACCGACACCCGGTCACCGACACACTAAGTCACTCACTGACTCACCATGTCACTCACTGACATAAAATGCCATTCACCGACACAGCATGCCATTCGCTGACGTACAGTCGGCTGACTTGTGACTGAATTCCGAGGTGGAAATGTGAGGATCGATGATGATGATGTGATGGTGGACAAACGCGGGCTAATGGGTGACTGTGGTACGGCGACGTTTTGCAACGGAGGTCCCGCAGCCGCTGAGAGTGACGGTCAAACGGTGAAGTCGATTTGTTTAGCCCACGTGCGGGGCCGTCCATAAATGACGTCACGCGATTTTGGACGATTTTTGACCCCCCCCCCCCCTTCGTCACACGGCGTCACAAAAAGTCAGACCCCCCCCACATATGACGTCACAAAGCTCTGCCCCCCCCCAAAAAAAAACATGTTTCAAATCGCTTTAAACTATTGTCATTGTGGTGCGTATTTAATGTGGCGCTGCACTCTGATGTTGTAGGAGGAAACATTTATTAGAAAGTCAATTTAATTAAATAGAACGTGTTGTCTACATTTATTTAAAGTTGCGCATTTTGATGTGACGTTACATTTCTCAACCCCCCCCATCGTCACACATCGTCACGAATGTCTGACAGCCCCCCAGGTGCGTGACGTCATTTATGGACGGCCCCTGTGAGCTCGAGAGGGTGTCTTGAGACTTGAGTAGTCTCGTTTGGCATCGAGACCTGGGGCATTAATTATCCTACCAGCCTGGGGGACGATTGGTATCGCCACGTCAACATCTGAATATTTACACTGGAGGAATCCGATGAGCTATAAAGCGCTTTTTCCCCGCAGATGTATCATCCCAAATTGAGTAATTTGTGCGTTTGGTAAAATTGGAGGCCTCCCGTGCCACGGACACACAATGAATGGGGCTGCTGTTGCTAATAACGTCGTGTTTTATCGTCATTATCACCATCATTATTATGGTTATGCCACCCGCAGAAATAAGCAGGGCGGCCGCTGGAATTCTCCACGCAAACTCCAAATGTACAGCAGCAGCAGGCGTCATGGTCGTGATCGAACCCACGACCTCCTGCATACCAGGCGAGGTAGTTAACATCTCATGGCCACCGTGGTCACCTGCCCGCGGGCGCTCACTGCGGTGGAGCGCGGTGAGGTGGAGGAGTTTTGTTCAAACGCCCGCGGGCCAAAGTTCAAAGGCCGTCCAATCAGCGGAGGGATGGGTCGGACACCCCCCCCCCCCCCCCCGTTAGGGAACCAATTGGAGTGGAACTGGCAAGCAGACCCCCCCGTCTCCGGTTTTCCCCCCCACATCTTTAACCACGTGGGTTTAAAGTATTTGGATGCTATTAGCTACTAATGCCCACGTGATGATAAGCCGCTAAATCCAGCCGTCATTTGTGGCCAGGTCGCTTCTGAAAGAGAGCTACTCAGCTCAGTGGACCCCCCACTAACTCTCCCCGCCCCCCTCACCTCTCCCATCTCTCCCCCTCTCCCCACCTTCCCCTCTCCCTGCCCCCCTCTCCCTGCCCCCATCTCCCTGCCCCCCTCTCCCTGCCCCCATCTCCCTGCCCCCCTCTCCCTGCCCCCCTCTCCCTGCCCCCCTCTCCCTGCCCCCCTCTCCCTGCCCCCCTCTCCCTGCCCCCCTCTCCCTGCCCCCCTCTCCCTGCCCCCCTCTCTCCCCTCTCCCCACGGGTCCACTCCCCGTGCATGCCCCGTGGCTCTGCGTGGGTGGGGAACAGACGACGATGTGCACAAGTGCGGGCGCTGCCAGGAGGAGTTCAACAGCCTGGAGGCGTTCATCCAGCACCGGCTGCAGCAGGCGTGCTCGCGGGCGCCAGCTGGTGCTCCGCTACTGCAGCCCTCCGCCAACGAAGGTGGGCAGGTCGTGCTGCGGGCAAGCAGCAGGGCGGGGTGGGGATGGTGTGGGGGATGATATTGGTGATGAGTTGGTGGGTGATGGTGATGATGATTTTGTAAGTGATGGTGTGGGAATTTAGGAGGTGGGTTATGGTGTGGGTGATCAGGACGTGGATTATGTGGGTGATGGTCTGGGGTGATGAGTAGGTGGGTCATGGTGATGATGATAATGTGGGTGATGAGGAGGCGAGTGATGATGTGGATGATGATATTTGTGATGTGGATTGTGGGTGATAAAATGAATGATGAGAGTGATGAGAATGATAGAGGTGGTGATGGTGATGTGTGCTGAGACTAATTTAGAGGAAAATGTTAGTGATGTGGGTGATGTGGAGACGCAGACAATGGTGAAGTCTTTAGAAGGATATTCTCCAGTTCCTAGGCATGCAAGATTGCGTGTGTGAGGTTGTCCATGTGTGTGTGTTTATTGTTTTATGACTGTGTGTACATGTATCTATGTGCGTGACTGTGTAAGTGTATCTGTACGTCTATGTGTGATTGCATATAGCGGTATTGTAGTGGTCAGCACGCTGCACTACGAACCCGGTGACCCGAGATCGATTCCCGCTCACGGCCAAGACCAGTGATGATTATCTGAACCGGTCCTGGGCCTCCCCTAGGTTGATTCAGCCTCAAATGAGTACCTGGTGCGATGTGTAAACATCAGCACTGGGGAGACAAAGGCGGCCGGGTGCGGTACTGGCCACCTACCCCCTCGTGTGCTGTGCCGGCTTGCATAGTTGCTGCTACTCGCTAACAGCACTTGCCCCAACAGGCTACATGGGGGATCTTTGTTGACCTTTGTTGACCTTTGTTGCTGTATACGGGCGTCTGCGTGTATTGAACCGCGCGCGTGTGAATGTCACGCGTGCGTCACGCCAGGCAGCGTCGCACCGCCCGCGAGCGGCGACGTTGACGTCGACGGAGCCGGAGACATCGTCGCCGTGCCGCGGGCGACGCGCAGGAGGGCCCGCGCCTCCCCGCCCGGCGACCTGCGTCCGCCCGACTCGGGGGCCGCCACCGCCCCACCGGGGCTGGGGCCGGCGCCGCTCGGCTCCCTGGCGAGCCCCGGACCCAGGCTGGCCGCGCGCGACGGCGCCCCCTTTGTGTGCAGCCTGTGCCCCAAGCAGTTCAAGACGGTGAGAGGCGGGCGGGTGGGCAGTCGGGTAAGCGGGCAGGCAGGCAGTCGGGCAAGCGGGCAGGCAGGCAGTCGGGCGCGTGGACAGGCGAGCAATCGTGGGGTTGGTCGGGCGGTCGAGCGGGCGGTCGGGCGAGCAGGAATCTTAACTCGGATCGGCGGGTTCGTAGCACAGCGCTTACCGCTTACACTACCGTTATGATAATGTCAAAGCAGGTCTCATGACGCTTACACTACCGCTCCCCATAACACTCACGAGCCCACACACGCGCGCACGTACACGCTGCTGCTCTCATCCGCAGGCCGTCATCCTGAAGGCCCACATGGTGACTCACAGCTCCAGCAAGCAATTCCGCTGCACCGTCTGCGCCACGCAGTTCCACACCAAGGGCTCGCTGGTCCGGCACGCGCGGCGCCACACCGGTACGCCAGTGCCGGGGAGCGGTGGGGGGGGGGGCGGTGGTGGTTTTGGTGGTGGTGCTGTCATCTCGTGTAGCCCGCATACCCAGCCCACCGCATGCCCAAGCAGCTTCTGTTTCATACTCTGAGGTTTTTTCGGTAAAGTCACTTGATACAGCAATCGTGCTGTGACGGTTCCACCTGAAGACGGAAGCTTGTGTTGCCTCCGAAACGTCGTGATTTATTATTTTATTTCTATTATTTATTATTATTATAAAACATTTTTTACCTACGTGACTTTACCGAAAAAACCTAAGAGTATGAATCCTTGCAGTTACGAAAGCTTCATATCTAGAATCAGCTTCTGTTTGGCCGGATAGAGCGGGCTAAACGGGAGCAGCGCGGTGTCGAGAAGAGATGGAGCTGATGCGGTATGGGAGTATGTGTAGCTGAGTGGACTTGTCAATGACCGGTACCAGCTGTGTCAAGATCGGCCTCTGTGGAGGAGGTTCGTGAAGGACGCTGCTGCTGCTGGGCAGTTCGTAGGCAGTCACGCTCCAGCAACAACAGAGGGCGGAGAAGCGACGCTCACAACAACGAGCGGAGCGCCGGGTGGCTAAAACTCAGAAAGTTGGCACAGCAGAGGGCACAGTGCATCTGCCAGTCATCTCAGTCTGTCAACCCATGGCACCTGCTGGGTCTGTCCAGTGACCTCCTGCTGCCAGCAGCGAGCCTTCGACACTTCACGTGGCCTCGAAGTGCCGTGGTGATGTCACCGCCACTTGATGGGGAATGGCGATACATTTCCACGTGATAAGCCACTTCGTTAAGCAATCATTTGTGATATTTGGGTCGCTTCTCAAAAAAATATAACTCCGTGGGCCTTACCCGGTAAAATAAATAACAAATACACAATATTCTCTAATAACAGCACTTGCCCCAGCACCCCACGAGGGACTACACGGGGGATCTTTGTCTCCACGTTTGTCGTGCCAGGCGAGCGTCCGTACGTGTGCAAGGAGTGCGGGCAGGGGTTCCGGGAGTCGGGCGCGCTCAGCCGCCACCTCAAGTCTCTCACGCCGTGCACGGACCGGGCCGTGTACACCGGGGCGCAGGCCAGGGCCGCCTGCCGGCCTGCGCACACCGCAGCCCAGGGTGAGGAGGAGCAAGCGGGCAGGCAGGCGCGTACACCCACGCATCCGCTCACTCGCTCACCCACTTGCTCACCCACTCGCTCACCCACCCATCCGCTTGCTCGCTCGCTCACCCACTCGCTCACCCACTCGCTCACCCACCCATCCGCTTGCTCGCTCACTCACCCACTCGCTCACCCACTCGCTCACCCACTCGCTCACCCACCCATCCGCTTGCTCGCTCACTCACCCACTCGCTCACCCACTCGCTCACCCACCCATCCGCTTGCTCGCTCACTCACCCACTCGCTCACCCACTCGCTCACCCACCCATCCGCTTGCTCGCTCACTCACCCACTCGCTCACCCACTCGCTCACCCACCCATCCGCTTGCTCGCTCGCTTACCCACTCGCTCACCCACCCATCCGCTTGATCGCTCGCTCACCCACTCGCTCACCCACTCGCTCACCCACCCATCCGCTTGCTCGCTCGCTCACCCACTCGCTAACCCACTCATCCGCTCAACACTCGCCCGCTCGCTCGACACTCACCCACCCACCCCCTCACTAACCCACCCATCTACTCGCCCACCCACTCAAGTACGCTTGCGATACACTCGCCCGCCCTGCTCACCCACCCTGCTCACCCACCCTGCTCACCCACCCTTCCCACCGTCTCCCGTTTGCCCGCTGGCAGCCGAGAAAGCCGCGGAGATGCCGGAGTCCGGCGCCACTGGCACCGATGCCGCCGTGGGGAGCGCTGGCGACGTGGCGAGCGCTGGCGACACGGAGAGCGCTGGCGCTGTAGCGAGCACTGGCGCCGTGGGTAGCGCTGGCGACACCTACGTCTTGCTGATAACCCCGGTGGCGCACGGCGAGAAGGTAGGGAGGGGTCGCCACCCGAGTGACGCGTGTGGAGTGGAGCGTGTGGGGCGGCGCGTGTGGGGCGGTGCGTGTGGGGCGGCGCGTGTGGGGCGGCGCGTGTGGGGCGGCGCGTGTGGGGCGGCGCGTGTGGGGCGGCGCGTGTGGGGCGGCGCGTGTGGGGCGGCGCGTGTGGGGCGGCGCGTGTGGGGCGGAGCGTGTGGGGCGGAGCGTGTGGAGTGGAGCGTGTGGGGCGGCGCGTGTGGGGCGGCGCGTGTGGGGCGACGCGTGTGGAGTGGAGCGTGTGGGGCGGAGCGTGTGGGGCGGCGCGTGTGGGGCGGCGCGTGTGGGGCGGCGCGTGTGGGGCGGCGCGTGTGGGGCGGCGCGTGTGGTCCGGCTGGCCCGCCCTGGTTAATACTGCAGGTGTCCCTTCATCGTCGTCATGATCATGCACTGCATGGTCATGACTGAACACATTCATGCTGCGGAGGGAGCTGGTAGGAACGTTGGGTTGCACGGTCAATGGCCAGGGTCAACGGCGGCGTGGTGTATTCCGCAAATATGCCCGACTGTGGGGGCGGGCACAAGCTGGCGTGAGTAGGTTAAACGTTGAGTTTTATAAGGGCACCACGGGGTGACCAGCCCCTCCCCACCCAGCCCCACCCCTCCCATCCCCCTCCCAGCCCCACCCTCCCCACCCAGCCCCACCCTCCCCACCCTCCCCACCCTCCCCTCCCCACCCAGCCCCACCCAGCCCCTCCCCACCCAGCCCCTCCCTCCCCACCCAGCCCCTCCCTGCACGACGGACACAATAATCCCCTGTGGGCTGGTGTAACCAGGAGGTTCCTACCAGTATAATGTAGTGTGTGTGTAGTGTGTATATACTGTGTTTCACAAGCATAGAGAAAGGAGGGCATGACTGTGGCCGAGAACTCCCGAAGCTTCAGAACAGGTAGCTTCCACACAGCGTTACGCAGCCGCTGGAAAGATAATGCCGCCCGATTGATTCGGCAGTCAGACCTCTGCTGTCAAACCAGAGCTGGTCATAAGGAAACGTGGACCCCTCTAATGGAACACCTCCACGAGTTGGAAACATTCAGGCTGGCCTGCTTGCAGTCCATCCTGGATTTAACCAGACTGGATTGTGTGAGGAGCTCACAAATCCTTGAAAGATCTCTGGCGGGCAAGGCCGCATTGGCTGGGTCATGTAGCCTGCATGCCAGTCACCGTATGCTCAAGCAGCTTCTGTTTGGCCAGATAGAGGGGGCTAAATGCGCATGACGGGCTAGAAAAAAGATGTACTGATGCGGTAAAGGAGGATGTGTCAAGATCGGCCTCTGTCGAGAAGGCTCATTTAGGATGCTCCTGGGCAGTCGCCTTCCAATAACAGTGGAGGGCAGAGGAGCGACGCTCACAACAACGAGTGGAGCGCCGGGCGGCTAAAATGCAGCAAGTTGGCACAGTTGGGGGCACAGCTGGTGCATCTGTCATCTCAGTCAACCCGTGGCATCTGCTGTGTTAGTCCCGTGACCTCTTGCCAGCCGCGAGCCTTCGCCACTTCACGTGGCCTCAAAGTGCACCTCGCCTGGCACTGGCGCCGTGGTGACATCACCGCCACTAAGTGGAGAATGGCGGCTGTTGTTATAGTGTGGATGTAGTGTGTGTAATTATATTATGTGTGTGTGTATGATGGCACAGTGTGTGTGTGTGTGTGTGATTATGATGCCCGATGATGAGAGACGTCGCCTCCGCCTGTCCCCTCGTCTGTAGGGAGACAGCGGCTGTGGCGATGACAAGGAGGGCAGCTCTTCCATCGGCCAGGGCGGCTCTGCCGCTGCGGACGCCACGATTGGTCAGCATCGTCCAGAGGAGCCCAACCTGATTGGCCGAGCAATGAAGAACTCTGGCATCCAGGAGGCGAGGGCGGCGCCCAGTCTGCCGGGCTCTGCTCGGCCAATCGAAACGGAAGATTTGGCCGGAAACGAGGGGGCGGGGCCTCGGGAGGGGGCGGAGCCAGAGGAAGGGGCGGAGCTCGCTCCGGAGGCTCGACCAATGGAGACGCAGACGCCTGCCGACGTCGTGGGGTCCGCGGAGGAGGAGGTGCGGCAACGGGAAGAGGAGAGCGGCGATTTGAACTCGGCAAGTAGTGCGGCAGTGCCGGCAGCGGGTGTGCAAAGCACCCGGTCAGCTGCTCACAGCCACTCGCCTAACCGCCCACTCGCACACCATGCCACTCATGCCCCGTCACCCACACACACACCCTACCACACACTCACACACCATGCCACTAACACGCCCCGTCACCCACACACACACCCTACCACCCACTCACACACCATGCTATTAACACTGCCCCGTCACCCACACACACACCATGCCACTCGCACGTCCTGTCACCCACACACTCACACACCCTGCCACTAACACACCCTGTCGCACACTCACTCGCACACCATGCCACTAACACGCCCACTCATCCGCTCACACACCCTGCATACACTCTCGCACTCTGCCACTAACAAACCCTACCACCCGCTCACTCACACACTCACACACACTCACATGCGTGCGTGCGCTCACTCGCCCCTCCGTGTGCCATGCGTGTGGCGAGCGCAGGGTGGGGGCGGTGACGGTGCCGGGCGGCTGCCCCGGCACACCGAGCCGTGCCCCTACTGCCACAAGCGCTTCCGCGGGCACCGCTACCTCCAGATGCACATCCACGGACACAGAGGTGCATCCAGCCACGCGCACACACAAAGACAAAGATCCCCCGTGTAGCCTTAAAAGACTGTTTGGGCAAGTGCTGTTAGCGAGGACCTATGAACGCTGGCACGGTACCCAGTGGCGATGTTTACACACCACACTAGGTACTCATTTGAGGCTGAATCCAGATAAATAATCGTCACTGGTGTTGGCCGTTAGTGGGAATCGGCAGGCTTGTAGCGCAGCGCGCTAACCGCTACACCACCACTCCCCACACACATGCTTACCACACTGTGCACAACTACGCACACGCGCCTCACACGCACCACACACTACATACACACCACACATACGCACAACATGCATGCACTCCCAAATACCAATACCCACCATTCGCCACTAAGTGACGGTGACGTCACCACGGCGCCTGTGCCAAGCCAGGTGCACTTTGAGGCCACGCGAAGTGTCGAAGGCTCGCTGCTGGCAGGAGGTCAAGGGACAGACCCTGCAGGTGCCGTGGGTTGGCTGAATGAGATGACCGGCAGCTGCACCACCAGCTGCTGTACCCCCCCCACACTGTGCCGACTTGCTGCGTTGGCGCTCACGCTCGCCCGTTCTCGCCCGCCCCCTCCCTCCCTCCCTCGCCGGTGCGCCAGCGGCCCAGCGCGCCGAGGCCAGCCCCAACGTGTGCACCGTGTGCGGCAAGTCGTTCGTAACGGTGTCCGTGCTGCGCAAGCACCTGGCGGCCCACGGCGGGGAGCGGCGCTACCGCTGCGGCGAGTGCGGCAAGCTGTACAAGTGCGTGGCGCACGTGCGCGACCACATGCGCGCCCACTCCGAGTCGCGCCCCTTCCCCTGCGCCGCCTGCGGCAAGAACTTCAAGACCAAGGTGGGGAGGGGGGTGGGGGGAGGTGGAGCGAGGAAGGGCAGGGAGCTGGAGGGAGGTGGATGGAAGGGAGAGAAGTGGAGGGGGGGAAGGTACGGGGAGGTGGAGGGAAGTGGAACGAGGGAGGTGAGGGGGAGGCGATGGGGGGGGCGAGGGGGGGGGGCGAGGGGGGGGGGCGAGGGGGGGGGGCGAGGGGGGGGGGCGAGGGGGGGGGGCGAGGGGGGGGGGCGAGGGGGGGGGGCGAGGGGGGGGGCGAGGGGGGGGGCGAGGGGGGGGGCGAGGGGGGGGGGCGAGGGGGGGGGGCGAGGGGGGGGGCGAGGGGGGGGGCGAGGGGGGGGGCGAGTTTAAAGAAACTTGGGAAGATGGAAATGGAGGGAGGGGCAAGGGGAGGGAGACGTAGGGATGGAGGGGAGGGTGACGTGTGCGGCGCACGGTGGAGCGAGCGGTAGTGGCACCCACGTGGGACACCCTCGGCGGTGGTTGTGGCAATGGTGACGCCCCGCATGACGCCCTGTGTGTGGTGCTGTGTGCGTGTGGGTGACACCGTGGCGCCGTGGTGTGGTCGGCGTGTGTGTGTGTGAGATGGTGTGTGCGTGGTGGCCTGGCACAAGCGTCGAATGGCGGTTGTTGTTGTTGTTGCGTGGTAGCGGCACTGCGTACCCCGTGCACCCCCCCCCCCACGTGTAACCCCCCCTCCCACGTGACGTGTACGATGGTGCCCCCCTCCCCGTGACGCTGCGTGACCCCACGTGACATCGCGACCACCGCCCGCGCGTGTGCGACGCCCCCCACGTGACTCCCCCTCTCTCCTCCCCCCTCGCCCCATCGCCCCTCGCCCGTGCACCTGCAGCACGCCCTGCAGGTGCACGAGCGCACGCACGGCCAGGTGAAGCCGCACGCGTGCCCCGACTGCCCCGCGCGCTTCCGCGAGCGCGCCTCGCTGGTGCGCCACCGCCGCCAGCACACGGGCGAGCGGCCCTTCCCGTGCCCGCGCTGCTCCCGCTCCTTCGCCGAGCACGGCACCCTCAACCGGCACCTGCGTGCCAAAGGTGGGGACCCGGGGAACTCGGCGCCAACCAAAAGCAGAAGCCATCCACCACTGGCTCACTCACGGCTCACCCAGCCACCCACTGGCTCACTCACGGCTCACCCACCCACTGGCTCACTCACGGCTCACCCAGCCACCCACTGGCTCACTCACGGCTCACCCACCCACTGGCTCACTCACGGCTCACCCACCCACTGGCTCACTCACGGCTCACCCAGCCACCCACTGGCTCACTCACGGCTCACCCACCCACTGGCTCACTCACGGCTCACCCAGCCACTGGCTCACTCACGGCTCACCCAGCCACCCACTGGCTCACTCACGGCTCACCCACCCACTGGCACACTCACGGCTCACCCAGCCACTGGCTCATTCACGGCTCACCCAGCCACCCACTGGCTCACTCACGGCTCACCCAGCCACCCACTGGCTCACTCACGGCTCACCCAGCCACTGACTGGCTCACTCACGGCTCACCCAGCCACTGGCTCACTCACGGCTCACCCAGCCACCCACTGGCTCACTCGCGGCTCACCCAGCCACCCACTGGCTCACTCGCGGCTCACCCAGCCACTGGCTCACTCACGGCTCACCCAGCCACTGGCTCACTCGCGGCTCACCCAGCCACTGGCTCACTCACGGCTCACCCAGCCACTGGCTCACTCACGGCTCACCCAGCCACTGGCTCACTCACGGCTCACCCAGCCACTGGCTCACTCACAGCTCACCCAGCCACTGGCTCACTAACGGCTCACCCAGCCACTGGCTCACTCACGGCTCACTCACCCACCCACTGGCTCACTCACGGCTCACCGAGCCACTGGCTCACTCACGGCTCACCCAGCCACCCACTGGCTCACTCACAGCTCACCCAGCCACTGGCTCACTCGCGGCTCACCCAGCCACTGGGTCACTCACGGCTCGCCCAGCCACTGGCTCACTCACAGCTCACCCATCCACTGGCTCACTCACGGCTCACCCAGCCACTGGCTCACTCGCGGCTCACCCAGCCACCCACTGGCTCACTCGCGGCTCACCCAGCCATCCACTGGCTCACTCGCGGCTCACCCAGCCACTGGCTCACTCACGGCTCACCCAGCCACTGGCTCACTCACAACTCACCCATCCACTGGCTCACTCACGGCTCACCCAGCCACTGGCTCACTCACGGCTCACCCAGCCACCCACTGGCTTACTCACAGCTCACCCAGCCACTGGCTCACTCACGGCTCACCCAGCCACTGGCTCACTCACGGCTCACCCAGCCACTGGCTCACGGCTCACCCAGCCACCCACTGGCTCACTCACGGCTCACCCAGCCACTGGCTCACTCACGGCTCACCCAGCCACTCACTGGCTCACTCACGGCTCACCCACCCACTGGCTCACTCACGGCTCACCCAGCCACTGGCTCACTCACAGCTCACCCAGCCACTGGCTCACTCACGGCTCACCCAGCCACCCACTGGCTCACTCACGGCTCACCCACCCACTGGCTCACTCACGGCTCACCCACCCACTGGCTCACTCATGGCTCACCCAGCCACTGGCTCACTCACGGCTCACCCAGCCACCCACTGGCTCACTCACGGCTCACCCAGCCACTGGCTCACTCACGGCTCACCCAGCCACTGGCTCACTCACGGCTCACCCAGCCACCCACTGGCTCACTCACGGCTCACCCAGCCACTGGCTCACTCACGGCTCACCCAGCCACCCACTCACCCACTCACCCATCCACCCACTCACCCATCCACCCCCACTCACCCACTCACCCACTCACTCACCCACCCACCCACTCACCCACTCACCCACCCACCCACTCACCCACCCACCCACCCACTCACCCATCCACCCACCCACTCACCCATCCACCCACCCATCCACCCACTCACCCATCTACCCACTCACCCACCCACTCACCCAGCCACCCACTCACCCATCCACCCACAACTCAACCCACCCACTCACCCACCTTCCCACAACTCACTCGCCCACAACTCAATCACCCTTCCACTCGCACACCGACCCACAACTCAACCACACACCCCCATTCACGCGCCGACACAAAACTCGACTACGCATCCACCCACCGACCCACTCACGCACCTACCCACTACTGATGGTGACAGTTATGATGATTTTGATAATGATGAGGGATGCTGGTGATGATGATCACTAATAAGATGATGATGATGGTGTTGATGATGATGACGAGGATGTTGATGACGATGACGACGATGGTTATGACGGTGGATATGACGATGGATTTGAAGCTTTCATGACTGCAAGGATTCATACTCTTAGTTTAGAGTATGTTATGACGGTGGTTATGACGACGACGACGATGGTGTTGAACCCAGCTGATTGACCCTCTCCCCTAGGCAGTTGCTCTCTGGGCGATGATGATGATGGTGTTCATGATGATGACGAGGATGTTGATGACGGTGATGATGACGATGGTTATGACGACGACGACGATGGTGTTGAACCCAGCTGATTGACCCTCTCCCCCAGGCGGTTGCTCTCTGGGCCCCAGTGCCCCTCCCCATGGCGCCCCCTGCAGGGCCCCCCCCCTCCCGCTGGGCCCCCCCACGGAGGCGACGGAGGCGACGGAGGGGGGCGACCCGCTGCTGGGCGAGGACCCCACGGCCGTGCTGGTGGAGTTCTCCTCCGTGGTGGCCGACACGCAGGAGTACATCATTCACGTGCGTCACACACACACACACGTGCGTCACACACACACACGTGCGTCACACACACACACGTGCGTCACACACACACGTGCGTCACACACACACACACGTGCGTCACACACACACACGTGCGTCACACACACACACGTGCTTCACACACACACACACGTGCGTCACACACACACGTGCGTCACACACACACACACACACGTGCGTCACACACACACACACACACGTGCGTCACACACACACGTGCGTCACACACACACACACGTGCGTCACACACACACGTGCGTCACACACACACGTGCGTCACACACACACACACACGTGCGTCACACACACACGTGCGTCACACACACATGCAGGAGTACATCATACACGTGCGCGTCACACACACACGTGCGTCACACACACACGTGAGTCACACACACACACTAGCTAGCACCCTGCCCGGCCGCCTTTGTCTCCCCAGTGCTGATGTTTGCATACCGCACCAGGCGCCCGCTTAGGGGAGACCTGGGGCCAGTTCAGATGTTTGTGAGCGAGATTTGAACTCGGGTCGCCGGGTTCTTAGCGCAGTGCGATGACCACTGCGCCACGCGTACTAATGTACCGTACACGCACGCGTGTGTGCCTAACCCCTACCCTGACCCCGACTTGACCCCGACCCTGACCCCGACCCCGTGCTGTCACGCAGGCAGGGCAGGCGGAGGAGAGGGAGCACAGCCCCAGCTTCATGCAGAGGATGGTGAGAGACACTTTCCCAGCCTCGTCACCACCACCACCACCACAGGCTCATCACCACCACAGCCTTCATTCACCACCACCACAGGCTCATCACCACCACAGCCTTCACCACCACAGCCTTCACCACCACCACCACAGCCTTCACCACCACCACCACAGCTTCACCACCACCACAGCCTCACCACCACCAGAGCCTCACCACCACAGCCTTCACCACCACAGCACCACCACCACAGCCTTCACCACCACCACCACAGCACCACCACCACAGCCTTCACCACCACCACCACCACCACAGCCTCACCACCACAGCCTTCTTCACCACCACCACAGGCTCACCACCACCACAGCCTCACCACCACCACAGCCTTCACCACCACCACAGCCTTCACCACCACAGCCTCACCACCACCACCACCAGAGCCTCACCACCACCACCACCACAGCCTCACCACCACCACCACCAGAGCCTCACCACCACCACCACAGCCTTCACCACCACCACCACCCTCACCACCACAGCCTCAGCCTCACCACCACAGCACCACGCTGGCCCCACCGCCCCCTGCTCACCGCCCCCTCCCGCCCCCCAGGAGGTACCAGCGGAGCTGGTGCAGATGGTGCAGCACATCGTGAGGGAGAGCCGGGGCAGCGGCGGGCACCACCGCTTCATCCTGCACAACGTCGGGGTCGGCGAGGCGGCAGACGCGGGGGGGGAGCCGGGGCCCCCCCCGCCCCCACACGGCCCGGCACCCAACGACGACCCCGACGACCCCCACAACACGGTACCCCCACGGCAAAGACGCCCCCCGAGTTGTAACGGGCCGTGTCGATGGGCCGGCACGGTGCACCACGCACGGCCGCCTTTGTCTCCCCGGTTGTGACGTTTACGACGCGCACCGCAGCAGGTGCTCGTTTTGAGGCCGAGTCGACCTACAGGGAGGCACCAGGACCGGCTAATCGTCAACGGCGTTCGTGGCCGTGAGCGGGAATCAAACTCGGCACGCCGGGTTCGGCGCGCGGCTCGCTAACCCCCTGTATGTACAAAGACAAAGATCCCCCGTGTAGCCTTCAGCAGACTGTTGGGGCAAGTGCTGTTAGCGAGCACCTGTGAAGGCCGGCACAATAACATAAGGGGGGTGGGGGTGTTTACAAACCACACCAGGTACTCATTTGAGGCTGAGTTGACCTACAGGAGGCCCAGGACCGATTTGGATAATCGTCACCGGTGTTGGCCGTGAGCAAGAATCAAACTCGGGCTGCCGGGTTCGGAGCGCAGCGCTAACTGCTGCGTCACCGCTCCCCGTGTATCTACGTACGCACACGTACACACACACGTACACACACGTACACACACACGTACACACACACACGTACACACACACACGTACACACACGCGTACACACACGTACACACACCCACGCACACACACACGTACACACACGTACACACACACGCGCGCTGATCCAGGCTGTGTGCGTCCCTCCCGCCTGCCCAGGAGGTTGCCATGGCTAGGGATGGTGCTGGGACGCCACCGGTTGTGTCCGGTGACGGCGGTGGCACCATCATCTTGGTGACCGTGCAGAATGAGACGGGCGCGGAGGAGCAGCAGGCCATTGCCATGACGATGGACGGCACGGGACTGGAGCAAGTCGCCGCGGTAACCGACCGGACCATTGAGGAGACGGTCGGCGTTGCCAAGCAGCAGGTCATCTCCGTGGTGACGGCGGACAGGACCGAAGTCGGCGAAGAGTGCGTCGCCATGGTGACGGACAGTATCGGAGAAGAGTGGACGGTTTCTGTGGCGAAGGACGCCGTTGGCGTGGCGACGGTCTCCATCGGGGGAGAGGAACCGGCGTCGCCGCGGTGATGGGGAAAGCGGGCGGCGCGACTTCGATTGGAGGTTGGCCGTGAGTGGGAATCGAACTCGTGTGGCCGCGTTCCTAGTGCAGTAAGAGGCTCAACGCGGAGAGGCCCCCAGGTAAGGCCCGGACGACACGAAACAGCCCACACACACACACACACAGAGGCTTGGCCAAGCAACCCATCGGTTTCCTCCAATCGCACGGGACTTTTATTTTGACAGGTCGCCCGTCATCCTCACATCATGCAGCCCTCCCCCCCCAGCCCTCCCAACCTCGGGGTGCCAGAGGTGGGTGAGGGGGGGGGGCCGTACCTTCTGTACACGCGCAGAGGAGAGGGGGGGGGGTGCTCTCTGGGACGGGAGATATTCAATAGATTCTCTATTTACAGTTTCCCCCCCCACCACCACCACCCTAGGCATCCTGCACTCAAGCTTGAGCCACGGACTGTTCCATTCAACATCACAAGGGGGGGGGGAGAAGCCACAATCATAAACCCGCATGCACCCCGCCCGCCTCAGGGGTGGTACAGGCCATCTACTGGCTCCAGGAGTTGGGGGGGGGGGTGAAAGGAGGTGGGAGGAGTGTCAGTACATTGCCATCTGTGATCATAATGAACTCTTGTTATAAAAACTTAAAACATCCTCAATAAAAATGTAAAATTCTATATAAAAACAAAAATTAAAAGGCAGTGGGGGTGATGATGCGCGTGCCTCTACACTGAAGGCAGCTACACTGAGAGGACAGTGGTTGTGTTGATTAAGCCTGGATGAGTGTTGTGGTGGTTGTGGTGGTTGCATTAATTGGGGTCGTGCGTGCAATGCCAACTCGTGTTGGTGGTTGTGTTGATTAGGATCGTGCAGCGCAAGAGTGGGATGAGTTTTGCGAGTTACAGTGACGGTTGTTGTCACGGAGACGTTGGTCGTGTTACGAATACGCAATGGCAGCGTGGATGAGCGTTGTGATGGCTGTAATGCAGATGGTGGTTTTATTTATTAGGATTGAGCGATGGTTGTGGTGTAATGGTGGTGGTGCAGTGGTCGTGTTGGTGGTGCAATGGCGGTGATGCGATGAGTGGTACCGACACGCCCGGTTACATTCTCTTTACGCCGTTACAACATCCAGTGTGGGACAACCTCACCATCACAAATGCGAGGAGGGGGGGGGAGACAATCACCCGTACCGTGCACCTACACAAATCATCCGCGCCACGCGCTCGTACCGCGATTACACACCCTGCACACGGCCGCGCAGCTGTACCAGTCACCTGTAGAAACGTACGAGACTAAAACTAATTGTTTATCTCACCGGGTCAGGCCGCCCCCGCCCACTGAGCCCACGTGACTCTTCTTCAGAAGCGACGCGTCCGTCACGGATGACGGCTGCTCAACGAAGTTGACTTCGTCGTCACGCGGAAATTTACAAGCGGCCAAATACCCGAAACGCGCGACGAATAGATTCTAAATGTGGAGTGGGGGGGGGCGGGAACCCGGAGAAAATCCACGCGACCACAGGGAGGACATGCAAAACTCCGAATATACAGCAGGCGTCAAGGGGTCGGGATGGAACCCACGACCTCCTGTATACCAGGCGAGGTAGTTAACATCTCGCCACTGCAGCGCCCCACAGTACACCGCACTCCACGTGTACAGCAACGCACCAACAAGGAACAACACCCACACCAGCGGTCACCGCAACTCGCACGGAGACGCGCCTCATCCCGTACTGACGTATAATGATGATTATCATCATCTTTTAAAATCAAGTTTTTTTTTTTTTGCGGCAATTGGAAGGGGAAAATAAAAATACAACCGCGAATGTGTCAAGATCACACAGCGGAGAGCAAGAAAATGACCAAATCAGCTTGAAGAATCACCAAGCCGCGTCCATTATTGGGTTTGTGTGTCTGGTTAGTGCACTCATCTCGTCTTGTCTTAAACGATCGTTAAAGAGCCGCCCAGACCCCCTGGCCCCCCCCCCCCCTCTTGCCTTTGCCACCTTACCACCAATTAGTCACCACCCCCCCTCCCCCTCTCTCCACCCCGACGATTAATTGCTTTGAATGGCGCTCAGCCACAACAACGTACAACACTCGCAACGGCGCGCGGAGAGCCTTGCACGTGGGCGGACGGGCGGGGTGAGTGTAAACAAGAGTTAATGCTGCTGCTGCTGTCTCGGCCGCCACTGGGCGACAAAATCTGGAGTAATAACGACGATGGGGGGGGGGGGGGGGGGGGTTGGAGGTCGCCCGCAGGCGGCCAGGGTCACCGGGCGAGGTGGGCCCGTTGCGGGCTTTGCCGGGGTCGTGGGGGTGAAAGGGAGCGGGCGCTGCTGCTGCTGAAGGTCGTGGGGTCGCGGAGAGCGCTACAGAGCGGTGCTCTCATCCTCCTCCGCCGGAGGGTCGCTCGTCGGGAGCGGAGGCGGCTCCGTCGCGGGGCCTGGACACGCACAGACGGCGCACAGGCACCCAGGTGGACACTCGGACACACAGACAGAGACACACGTACATACGTACGCAGACACACGGGGAGACGTGCAAGGACATCGACTGACGCACCACGCAGATGTGGAGTCGCGCACGCGCAGCAACGTGCGGGCGGAGAGCGCACCGGCAGATGGCATGCAGGGTCAAAACCGGCCTCCGTGACGACGTCTAACCCATTTCCAATTCGTGAGTACAAAGCCACGGGGGGAGGGCGCATGGCACAGTGTTGGTGCCAGCCACGGTAGAGTGGCGGTGGTCGTGTCGCTACGGTTCTCCACGGCGAGTAACGACCTTTTTCATTCTTCGCCTGAGGACGGCTGCTTGCGTTGTGGCCGAAACGTCGTGAGAATTATTTTATTATGTTTTATTTTTATTATTTTATTACTTCCCTTCTACGTGACTTTACCGAAAGAACCAAGAAGATGAGTAACGACCTCTTTAAAAACGGCGGCGCCGCTGCTATTGCCGCGCCCCTCGAATTAAAACGCATTCCGGGATTCAAGGGGATGCCCCCCCCCCACCCACCACCCTGCAACTCGGAAGACATCTTAGAACGGGAGAGGGTTTCGTAACGTACGTGTCGGCGCAAGGCCCCTGCAGCGCGCCGGTGGCCTCTGCCGGTGCCTCCTGGTGCATGCTGCCGAGGCACCCACAGCTCGCTCTCAACTCAAAATCTCCGCAACTCCGTCATCAGTGCGGAGTTGCGTGGATTCGCGATTCGACCCAGCGGGCCGCCCTGGTCAACGCCGCGGGGCGCAGAGTAACCAGGACAAATACGCCCCCGTAAACAAGAACTTTCTCGGTCTCTGTGGGATTACAACCCTACCGCCGGGCAGACCGACGCTCGCTCGCTTGCAGGCCGGACCGGTGTGCCGCGTACAACTTGTTGTGCCGCACGGGGACGGCTGCCATGGGAGGGGGGGTCCCCTTGGGTCCCAAAAAAACTGCATTTCTAGCGCGATGCCAAGTTTGTTGTTGTCGGTTTTAAAACTGTGGAGTTGAGAGGCTCTGCCGTACGGTGGAGGGAGCCCCGCGGTAGAGACAAGTGGAGCGGTTGTCAGTACTGGTTATCAGCAGCGGTTATCAGCAGAACGGTTATCAAGCAGAGGCGATGGACATGGCGGGAGGGGGGCCTTCGTGCCGACCTGCTGGGGAGTCTACAGGGGCTGGAGTTAGGGGGGGTTAGTACATGCCCACCACCGCACTGAACTACGCACGCATGCACTACACGCACACCACACACACGCGCAGGATAAACACGCACACTTCACAGGCACCCAAACACCACAAGCGGACGTCACACTACCCACACACCCCCACATGCACACCCTGTGCACACGCACGCCACGATGGGAAGCGCAGGCTGTTAAGTTGGGTGCACCAGGGTGCGGGGTCAGGGGGTCACGGGGGGGGGCGGTAGTTTAGTGGCAGATGCATCATCGATGATCTCAGCTGGATGAAGAGGGGGGGGGCAGCGGTTAGTGGGGGGTCGCGATGGGGGGTGGGGGGGGGCGGCGGTGTCTTACCGTCCAGACTGCGGCTCCGAGCGAACCCTACACCGCTGCACCGCACACACCGCACACGCCACACCACACACATCACACCGCGCACACCACACACGCCACAACGCCGCACACCGGACACACCACAACGTGAGCACGGGGAGGAGGACGAGAGAGAGCGGAGGGGGGGAAGAGTTACAAGAAGTTGTCCAATCAGATCAGGTGCTCGGACCAAGCATGGCTGAGACGGACCAGAGACAGAGCAGACATACAGAGCAGACACAGAATATGCAGGGACCATCAGTGCGAGTTCCAGGTTAAGTCGAGGGTCACAGTGCGGAGGGTTGTGTGCATCTGCCCACAGCCAGCAGGAAGGCACGACCCCCATCATGCTTTGCGTGCCGACGGTGCCCAACATGCAATGCGTTGGTCATGTGACATGCACACTGGGCGTGTGGGCAGCAGTGGTGCCTTTCTGCTGACCCACAAACCCACCAGACCACATCACACTCGCCATCACCCACTCGTCAGACCACATCATACTCACCCACCTACGAAGGAGTGATTTAGCTGGCCGCCTTTGTCTCCCCCAGTGCTGGTGTTTACAAACCACACAAGGTACTCATTTAAGACCGAGACGACCTAGACGAGGCTCTGGACCGGTTCGGATAATCGTCACCATCGCTGGCCGGGAACCAAGTGAGGGGGTTGGCGGGTTTTGCAGAGCAGTGCGCTAACTGCTGCGCCACCGCTCCCCCCGCACGTGGGCCGGCCACGAAGCACTTGAGGAGGCATCAAGGGGTTGGCGGGTCACAAACACATCGTGTGAAATTCCCAAATCCGCCCGGGGGGGTTCGCGAGGTCCCCCCATCTCCCGCCTCATGGCCAGGGTGTGGCAGTACAGCAAGTGGGATGGATTCCACATCTCTACAGGGATTGAGTCACCTCTGCTCACACACGTGTGTGTGTGGAGAGGTCTGTTTGGTTTATTTCTCTCTCCATCCGTGGCCATGGAGCTGGACAAACACATCCCAATACAGAGACGCCTCTGCTTACCAACATTCGACTTACAAACTTTCCGAGATACGAACAAAACCTGTCCAGTTTGCCTGCTCGGACAGAGAGTCGTAAGTTCAACCACCGGCGCAATAGATGGCGGTGGTGGCATCTACATCTGCAGAACGTGAAGAACCAGTGGCATCTACATCTGCAGAACGTGAAGAACCAGTGGCATCTACATCTACAGAACGTGAAGAACCAGTGGCATCTACATCTGCAGAACGTGAAGAACCAGTGGCATCTACATCTGCAGAACGTGAAGAACCAGTGGCATCTACATCTGCAGAACGTGAAGAACCAGTGGCATCTACATCTGCAGAACGTGAAGAACCAGTGGCATCTACATCTGCAGAACGTGAAGAACCAGTGGCATCTACATCTGCAGAACGTGAAGAACCAGTGGCATCTACATCTGCAGAACGTGAAGAACCAGTGGCATCTACATCTGCAGAACGTGAAGAACCAGTGGCATCTACATCTGCAGAACGTGAAGAACCAGTGGCATCTACATCTACAGAACGTGAAGAACCAGTGGCATCTACATCTGCAGAACGTGAAGAACCAGTGGCATCTACATCTACAGAACGTGAAGAACCAGTGGCATCTACATCTACAGAACGTGAAGAACCAGTGGCATCTACATCTGCAGAACGTGAAGAACCAGTGGCATCTACATCTGCAGAACGTGAAGAACCAGTGGCATCTACATCTACAGAACGTGAAGAACCAGTGGCATCTACATCTGCAGAACGTGAAGAACCAGTGGCATCTACATCTGCAGAATGTGAAGAACCAGCGGCATCTACATCTACAGAACGTGAAGAACCAGCGGCATCTACATCTACATAACGTGAAGAACTAGTGGCATCTACATCTGCAGAACGTGAAGAACCAGTGGAATCTACATCTGCAGAACGTGAAGAATCAGTGGTATCTACATCTGCAGAACGTGAAGAACCAGTGGCATCTACATCTGCAGAACGTGAACCAGTGGCATCTACATCTGCAGAACGTGAAGAACCAGTGGCATCTATATCTGAAGAACGTGAAGAACCAGTGGCATCTACATCTGCAGAACGTGAAGAACCAGTAGCATCTACATCTGCAGAACGTGAAGAACCAGCGGCATCTACATCTACAGAACGTGAAGAACCAGTGGCATCTACATCTACAGAACGTGAAGAACCAGCGGCATCTACATCTACATAACGTGAAGAACTAGTGGCATCTACATCTGCAGAACGTGAAGAACCAGTGGAATCTACATCTGCAGAACGTGAAGAATCAGTGGTATCTACATCTGCAGAACGTGAAGAACCAGTGGCATCTACATCTGCAGAACGTGAACCAGTGGCATCTACATCTGCAGAACGTGAAGAACCAGTGGCATCTACATCTGCAGAACGTGAAGAACCAGTAGCATCTACATCTGCAGAACGTGAAGAACCAGTGGCATCTACATCTGCAGAACGTGAAGAACCAGTGGCATCTACAGAACGTGAAGAACCAGTGGCATCTACAGAACATGAAGAACCAGTGGCATCTAGATCAACAGGAGATTACACAACTTTTAAGCCATTCTCCGTGTTTAGTGTACATGCCGTACAACACGTTTGGAATCGACAGCAGTAAAGTTGTACTCGCAAACAAATCGACCTACGAACAGGCCTCTGGAACTGTACTAGTTCGTAAGTCGAGGAGTCCATGTAGAGGACCACAGAGCTTGGACGACAGCAGCAGCAGCAGAAGGCCCTTGGGCTGGCCACGCGCCCGGCCCAAGCCCCCCGGGGCTCACCGCTCCCGACAGCCCGGGGCTACGATTAAAAGTTCAACGTACACACACACACGTGTCTCCATCTCTGTAATTCCCAGCATGCATCTCTACTGCATGCTGCTGCTGTCGTCATCATCACCGTGGTCTATCCACTGCTGTGATGTCAACAACGGCGTCTCGCTCTCCGACCGGACGAATGTGAGCGAGCAGCCTTGGTCTGATGGGCTCTGTGCCTACGGGTGGAAGCGGCGGCGGTGATGGCACCGCCTGGCGATGGCACACGTAGCGATGGCACCACGTGGCCATGGCACACGTAGCGATGGCACAAGCGTGGCGATGGCACACGCGGCGATGGCACACGCGTAGCGATGGCACACGGGGCGACGGCACACACGTGGCCATGGCACCACGTGGCGATGGCACCGTGTGGCGATGGTGCACTGCGTGGCGATGGCACACGTAGCGATGGCACCACGGGGTGATGGCACACGTAGCGATGTCACACGTGTGGCGATGTCACACGCGTGGCCATGGCGCACGTGGCGATGGCTGCGGCGGCTGAAGGCGCATGCGGGGAGCGGTGGCAATTAAATAATTAAATATTTATCTGAGCAGGCCCTGGGCCTCCTCCCTAGGTCGGGGGAGGGGATCTTTAACGTCGCCACGCGGTTATAACGCGCCACACCGCAGAGTCCCACCGCGACGGGACGGCTCGGCGGATTCGAACCGCCGACATCGAGGCCACCGCACCACAGATGGCGGCGACGGTCGCCGATGGGGAGCCATGGCGGTGACGGCGATGGCAGTGACCGTGAGCGACGGTGATGATGACCGTGATGGGATTGCGATGGGCAGTGACAGCGGTGATGGGCAATCTTGGCGGTGGTGGTGGCGACGGTGCTGATGGGTTAGTGATGGTTGTGATTGTGATGACAAAAGTGGTGGTGGTGATTGCGGTCACAGCAGATGTGGTGATGGTGTTTGTGATGGTGTTTGTGATTGTGATGGTGTTTGTGATGGTGATGGTGTTTCAGCATCACAGAGTCTCTTTCCAGAGCGTCTGTGCTGCTGAATGGAGATGCCTGGATGGGGTCAAAGGTCAATCGCACCACTGGGCAAATGACTAAGCCGAGGAGGCGATACTTTTCCCATGATCCTCTGGGCCAACCGCTCCGTTTAAAAGGGAACAATAACCAAGCTCCATGAGGCACCAGTGCATCATGGGAAAGCAGCGTCACGTGATCCCGTCGCCCCCCCACCCCAGAGGGGGGGGGGGCCTCTCAGGAGGCGGCGGGGTCAAAGGTGAGGGGCCGGCGCGTGCCCGTGTGTCACTGTACCTCGAGCGAAAGCGGGGGCAGGCCACAACGCAAGCCATCAGAGAGACAGCACTGGGGACAGACGCACAGAGACGGGGACAGACAGAGACAGAGGAGGAGGCGGGAGACGAGACAGGAGGAGGAGGAGGAAGGCATCTTTACGTCGAGAGCGGCGTGAGGTGGCAGCCACCACCAAGAACCACCAACCACCCACCGTCAACCACCATCAGCCACCATCATCAACCACCAGCAGCAGCACAACGCACGACAGACAATGCAAACGAGCAGTGACATGTCCCTGTGCGATGAACAGACATCTCACAAATGCGCAGAGCACACGCAGCACAACGCCAACGATGAAGTGCACAAATCAGGAGTGGAACACGCAATGCGCACGTACCCACGCTCGCACGACTCGGACACACACGAGGTACCCCAACAACACACAATACGCATGACACACACACACGACACACGGCACACATACAGGCGGCAGCGTTGCACACTCATCACTCGCGCTTCCCACGTCCACCACAGCCAAACCAACGATCGCCCGGACGTCACGGCCCATTGTCTCTCATCACGCAGCCCCCCCCCCGCCCCGTCTACATACCCGTGGACATCTCCTCCAGCCCGTCGTCCGACGAGTCGGTTTGCGCCGTCTCCCCGACGTGCCCCCCTCCGCCTCCCGGCGGCGGCTGCGGCGGCGGCGGCATCGCCGGCCTGGCGCGGGGCTTGGGCACCGGCGGCTTCCCCGACGCCGTGGCCGCCGCGCTGGCGCCGTGCGGCGCTCCTCCTCCGGCGTCGGGCGCGGGGGCGGCGGCGGCGTTCCGCAGCGAGGCGGAGGGCGAGGGGGAGGAGGAGGAGGAGAGGACGGAGGACTGCGAGGCGCTGCGGCTGTGCGTGCCGGCGCGCGGCGGCGTGCCGGGCGGCGTGTCGTCCGGCGGGCCACCCGTCTCCGAGCCGCCCGGCGCCGAGCCCATCTCCGAGACGCCCGCCTGCGTGCCCTGCACCAGGCTGGCCACCGCCTTGGGCGGCGCCGGCGCCGGCTTCTTGGCTGCGGGGGGAGCGGGGGGGGGGGGGGGCGGTGGCGCCGATCGGTCCGAGTCGGTGGTGAAACCGCGACGGGAGCCGAGCGGGAGCCGCGTGCGCCGTCTGGGACGTCGGGGGCGATCGTGGCCTCCCTTCCGCTTCGCTGGCTGTGGTGTCCACTCAAGAAGCAGTCAAGCTGAGGGCAGTGCTGAGTCTACAGTGCAGTGTTAATCTATGGGTAGTGTTGAGTCTATGGGCAGTGTTGAGTCTATGGGCAGTGTTGAGTCTATGGGTAGTGTTGAGTCTATGGGTAGTGTTGAGTCTATGGGCAGTGTTGAGTCTATGGGTATATGGGTAGTGTTGAGTCTATGGGCAGTGTTGAGTCTATGGGCAGTGTTGAGTCTATGGGTATATGGGTAGTGTTGAGTCTATGGGCAGTGTTGAGTCTATGGGCAGTGTTGAGTCTATGGGTATATGGGTAGTGTTGAGTCTATGGGCAGTGTTGAGTCTATGGGCAGTGTTGAGTCTATGGGTATATGGGTAAGGTGATGGTCTCTTACCCTACATTGCTGGGGTCACAAAAAAGATCTCCAAAATCCTGATTAAACACAAGATCCAGGTCCGATTCAACACAGTACATAAAATCCGTGATCTGGTCCCGTCTGTAAAAGATGTGGTTCCAGACATACAGTACCCTGGCGTCTACAAACTAAGTTGCCTCTGTGGTAGCAGTTACATTGGAGAAACCTAACGACATGTCTCGGACCGCATCCGTGAACATAAGGCAGACCTGAAACACGGTAGGACAAACACCTCAGCCGTGGCAGATCACTGTTACAATTCAGTGGGCTCACATGACATTGACTTCTCCAAGACAGAGGTTGTCTGCAAGCCATCTGGCTATCATGAGAGATTCGTTCATGAGGCGATCCACATATACAAACACAGAGACAATTTCAACCGAGAAGATGGATTCTGGCTTAGCAATCATTGGAAGGACGTAATAAACCATTTCGGATCTTAACTGATTGTGTTCACGTTTACGGTGACTTTCAGACCGCGTTCCACTCACTGGCATGGTGCAGTGTGCAGAGTAATGTATGGTGTCGTAATTGTATAGTAAACATATAGCAGTGTGATACACATTAGGGTGGGTAGAATAATACATAGTGTTATATTAAAATGGATAAGGCAGCAACTGCAGTAGCAGCAGCAAGTGCAGCAGCAGCAACTGCAGCAGCAGCAGCAAGTGCAGTAGCAGCAGCAAGTGCAGCAGCAGCAGCAACTGCAGCAGCAGCAGCAGCAACTGCAGCAGCAGCAACTGCAGCAGCAGCAGCAACTGCAGCAGCAGCAGAAACTGCAGCAGCAGCAACTGCAGCAGCAACTGCAGCAGCAGCAGTAACTGCAGCTCCCTTTGATGCTGTTAATCCTGCATAATGCACATGCATATGCAGTACTAATCACATTCCTGCATTTCCCATAAATATGCTAAATTCCTTTTGATATGCAAATTCCTTTGTCAATGCGCCCAGCTTATATATATGCTCCAAGCTCGTGTGCTGTTTCATTCAGACTCTGTCGCCTCGATGGACCTGGTTTTCACCTGAGGACGGCTGCTTGCGTTGTGGCCGAAACGTGAGAATTGTTTTATTATGTTTTATTTTTATTATTTTATTACTTCCCTTCTGCGTGACTTTACCGAAAGAACCAAGAAGATGAATCCCTGCAGTCACGAAAGCTTTAAATCGAAATCTATGGGTAGTGTTAATCTATGGGTAGTGTTGAGTCTATGGGTAGTGTTGAGTCTATGGGTAGTGTTAATCTATGGGTAGTGTTGAGTCTATGGGTAGTGTTGAGTCTATGGGTAGTGTTAATCTATGGGTAGTGTTGAGTCTATGGGTAGTGTTGAGTCTATGGGTAGTGTTAATCTATGGGTAGTGTTGAGTCTATGGGTAGTGTTAATCTATGGGCAGTGTTGAGTCTATGGGTATATGGGCAGTGTTGAGTCTATGGTGCAGTGTTGAGTCTATGGGTAGTGTTGAGTCTATGGGCAGTGTTGAGTCTATGGGTAGTGTTGAGTCTATGGGTAGTGTTAATCTATGGGTAGTGTTGAGTCTATGGGTAGTGTTGAGTCTATGGGTAGTGTTAATCTATGGGTAGTGTTGAGTCTATGGGTAGTGTTAATCTATGGGTAGTGTTGAGTCTATGGGTAGTGTTGAGTCTATGGGTAGTGTTAATCTATGGGTAGTGTTGAGTCTATGGGTAGCAGTGTTAATAAACATGTCGGTATTCTAAACGGACTCGAGGCAGGTTATTTTAGTAATTTCGTAATATAATATTTAATCGGTTATATTGAGTTCCCATGCCTTGCCCTCCTACCGTGTTTTTGCATTGTGTTTGCCGTCCTAACTCTGACCCCGTGCCCCTTACTGGACATCTGTGCAAAAGAGCTTCGTGGCTCATCGGATTCCTCCCGCAGCCTAAATAAAGATTCTGAATATTTCAGCGGCTCTTGGTGGTCGCGGGGGTCGTGGTGGGGGTCGCGGTGTGGGGGTCGCGGTGGGGGTCGCGGTGGGGGTCGCGGTGTGGGGGTCGCGGTGGGGGTCGCGGTGTGGGGGTCGCGGTGGGGGCCGCGCGGTGGGGGCCGCGGTGGGGGTCGCGGTGGGGGCCGCTCGCACCTTTGTGTTGGGGGTTCACGCTGCCCTGCCCCGACTTGCGGCCGAACGTCGGTGACACCTGGGGCAGCTTGAGGGCGCTGGGCACGGGGAGACAGGGGACACGCGGGGCGGACACGGAGACACACAGACACACAGACACACAGGGAGACACACAGGGAGACACACAGAGAGACACACAGGGAGAGGCACGGGTTAAACCACGTGGGGGGTCGGCGTGCGGTCCCAACGGCGCGATGCGGCAGCAACATCGCCGACACTCGAGTCGTGCTCACCGGAGCATCGACACTGCCACACAGCTACACGCGCACAAAGACACGTGCACGTACACACACACACACGCATGGGTACACGCGCACACACATTCATTCACACAAGACAAAGATCCACCGTGTAGCCTTCACGAACTCTCGGGGCAAGTGCTGTTAGCGAGCAGCACCTATGAAGGCCGGCACGGCACACCAGGGGGTGGGTGGCCAGCACCACGCCCCGACCGCCTTTGTCTCCCCAGTGGCGATGTTTACACACCGTACCAGGTACTCATTTGAGGTTTAGTCGACCTCGGCAAGGCCCAGGACCGGTTCAGATAATCGTCACTGGCGGTGTTGGCCGTGAATGGGAATCGAACTCCGGATCGCTGGGTTTGTAGCGCAGCGCGCTAACCTGGTACACTACCGCTCCCCCCACACACACACGTACACACACACACGTACATACACGTACACACACACACACGTACACACACGTACACACACACGTACGCACACACGTACACATGCACACACGTACACACACACACGTACACACACACGTACGCACACACGTACACACACACGTACACGTACACACACGTACACACGTACACACACACGTACACACACACGTACACACACACGTACGCACACACACGTACGCACACACACGTACACACACACGTACACACACACACACGTACACACACACATACACACACACGTGCGCGTGCCCACGCGCGCGTGCCCACGCTCACCTCTTGTCCACCACCACCGCCGGCGGTAGCGGCGAGCCGGGGGCCGTGTACAGGGAGGGGGTGTTGGGGCAGGAGAGGGCGGCCCCCCCCTCGCCCCCCCCACCCCCCGCGCCCCCCATGACCCCCACCACGTGGTTCTGCATCCTAACGGTGGTGGCCGCGCGGTAGAAGCTGCCGCGCTCCTTGTGGCGCGTCGCCCTGCAGCAGCAGCAGCGCCCAGCGGGGGGCGGGCGGGCGGGCGGCCGGCCGGTCGGGGGGTCAATCGGGGGTCAATCGGGGGTCAATCGGGGGTCGCCAGCGTCACGATTGGCCGGGGACCGTGGGACGAGGTTCATTGATTTGATTGATCCGTCGGTTGATTGGAAGCGGTGGTGTTGGTGGTGGAGGTCGTGTTGGAGGCGGTGGTGGTGGTGTTGGTGGTGGAGGTCGTGTTGGAGGTGTAAGTTGTGTTGGAGGTGTAAGTTGTGTTGGAGGCGGTGGTGGTGGTGTTGGAGGTGGTGGTGGTGTTGGAGGTGTAAGTTGTATTGGAGGTGGTGGTGTTGGAGGTTGTGGTGTTGGTGGTGGAGGTGGTGTTGGAGGTGTAAGTTGTGTTGGAGGTGGTGGTGGTGGTGTTGGAGGTGGTGGTGGTGGTGGTGGTGGTGGTGTTGGAGGTGGTGGTTGTGTTGGAGGTGGTGGTGGTGTTGGAGGTGGTGGTGGTGTTGGAGGTGTAAGTTGTATTGGAGGTGGTGGTGTTGGAGGTTGTGGTGTTGGTGGTGGAGGTGTAAGTTGTGTTGGAGGTGGTGGTGTTGGTGGTGGAGGTGTAAGTTGTGTTGGAGGTGTAAGTTGTGTTGGAGGTGGTGGTGGTGGTGTTGGAGGTGGTGGTGGTGTTGGAGGTGTAAGTTGTGTTGGAGGTTGTGATGGAGGTGGTGGTGGTGTTGGAGGTTGTGATGGAGGTGGTGGCAATGGCGAGGATAGTTGTGGTGGTGGTGGTGGAGGTTGTGATGGAGGTGTTGGCAGTGGTGATGACAGCGATGTTAGTGTTAGTGTTGGTACCAGTGGTGTCGGTAACAGGTCATGGTGGGAATCGAGAGTGAGCACAACGTCGCGTGCGATCATCGCAAGAGGAACGGTGCAGATTCCCAGCAACAATTCCCCAATTCCGTCGCGATAATTAGCAGAGAAATCAGCGGCAGGAGATTCGGCCGCGCGCCATCGATTGGTGACAGCCAATCCCAGCGGTGACGCCAGGAGTGGTGGTGTGAGTGTGCGCGATTATTCGAGAATCAATCAATCGCAAGCGGGCGGGGGCAGGCGGTTAATCGAAAGGGGCATGCGGGGAGACAGGCGGGGAGACAGGCGGACACACGTCAACAACAACAACAACGCCACCGTTAGGAACAACAACAACGACAACAACAACAGCGCCACGTCGACCATGCACGTTCAAAATAACTTGCAGGGGAAGAGGAAACTCTGACTGGCAACATGTTGGATGTCCACGCTTGGTCTCCGTGTCTCCCTGGCCTCCCCCTGGGTCTTCCCGCATCTCGTGAGCTCCCCACGTGCCTCGCCGCGTCTCCTTTCGTGTCCTTGCCTCCCCGGTTCTCCCTGCTGCGTCTCCCTGCTGCGTCTCCCTGCTGCGTCTCCCTGCTGCGTCTCCCTGCTGCGTCTCCCTGCTGCCTCTCCCTGCTGCCTCTCCCTGCTGCCTCTCCCTGCTGCCTCTCCCTGCTGCCTCTCCCTGCTGCCTCTCCCTGCTGCCTCTCCCTGCTGCCTCTCCCTGCTGCCTCTCCCTGCTGCGTCTCCCTGCTGCGTCTCCCTGCTGCCTCTCCCTGCTGTCTCTCCCTGCTGCCTCTCCCTGCTGCCTCTCCCTGCTGCCTCTCCCTGCTGCCTCTCCCTGCTGCCTCTCCCTGCTGCCTCTCCCTGCTGCCTCTCCCTGCTGCGTCTCCCTGCTGCGTCTCCCTGCTGCCTCTCCCTGCTGCCTCTCCCTGCTGCCTCTCCCTGCTGCCTCTCTCTAGATGTCCCTGTGTCTCTTTGGCGTCTCCTAGTATCTTCCTGCATCTCACCGCAATCTCCCTCCGCCTCGACGACGATGATGATGATGATGTTCGGTTCGGTCTACTCCCCGATCCCACCACCCCCCCTCACCGACTCGACCCCCCCCCACCCCCCCGGGTCTCGCCGTGCGTCTCTCCCTCCGTCTCCCCTCTAGTTAATGATGAGTGGGATGAGTGGTTAAGTGGGGGGAGGAGGAGGCGGGGGGCCAGGCAGGGCGTGAGACGGGGAGGGTTGTTACCTTTGTATTTTCCGAAAGCTGAGCGCGGGGGTTGCACAGGGGAAGACAGACAGGAGGAGTGGGTTAACCCGCCCTGGTCGCCCCCCCCCCCCCCCGCTAGCTGCGCGCGTGGGGGGTGTGCGGTTAGTGCGGTGAGCCCGGCAGCGGCAGCAGCAGCAGCAGGCGGTAGCGGGACGCAGCACACACAGCGTCACCCGGGCAGCTCAAGAGGGCGGCTGTCTGCATGTGTGTGCGAATACGTGCGAGTGTGGTGTGTGTGGTGTGTTGTGCGTGTGTTGTCCGTGTGTTGTGTGTGCGTTGTGTGTGCGGTGTGTGTGTGGTGTGTGTGCGTTATGCGTGTGGTGTGTGTGTGTTGTGTGTGTGTTGTGTGTGCTGTGTGTGTGCGGTGTGCGTGTGCGTGTGGGTGTGTTGTGTGTGCGTTGTGTGTGTTGTGCGTGTGTTGTGTGTGCGTTGTGTGTGTTGTGCGTGTGGTGCGTGTGGTGTGTGTGGTGTGTGTGTGTGCGTGTCCGCGTGCGCGTGTCCGCGTGTGTGCGCGTGTCCGCGTGTGTGCTCACCCATCCTTCTTGTGCAGCTCCCGCGCCAGGTCGTTGTCGGTGGCCACGCTGAGTGGCCGGGCTCGGCTACCCTCGGCGCCGCCTCCTCCTCGCCTCTCCCCGTTGACCCCGGGCGCCAGCAGCTGCCCCCCCCCCGGCCCCCCCGCCGGCGCTCCGCCCGGCCCCTCCGCCGGCAGCTGCGATGCCGCCGCAAAAATTCCCGTCTGGTCGAACTCCACCTCTAGCGAAGGAGGAGGAGGTGGGGGGAGGTGGTGAGGACAGGGGGCGGGAGTCCAACTCAATCACTCACACACACGCTCAGAGGGTGGATTGGCCAAGACCACAGCCATCTGACACTCAAAAGATCCCCCGTGTAACCTTAACAGACTGTAGGGGCAAGTGCCGTTAGCGAGTAGCACCTGTGAAGGCCGGCACGGCACACGAAGGGGTGGGTGGCCAGCACCACGCCCGGCCGCCTTTGTCTCCCCAGTGGCGATGTTTACTACACACCGCACCAGGTACTCATTTGAGGCCAAGTCGAGCTAGGAGAGGCCCAGGACCGGTTCAGATAATCGTCACCGGTGTCAGCTGCGCACACGAAGACAAAGATTCCCCCGTACAGCCTTAACAGACAAGGAGCCAGTGCTGTTCGCGAGCACCTGCGGAGGCCAGCACGACAGACGCACGCACACGCACACAGGCACACGCACGCAGGCACACGCACGCACACGCACACAGGCACACGCACGCACACGCACACAGGCACACGCACACAGGCACACGCACGCAGGCGCACGCACGCAGGCACACGCAGGCACACGCAAGTGCACGCACACAGACGCAGGCACGCACACAGATAGACGCACGCACACGCATACACGCACGCACACGCAGGCCCACGCACGCAGATACGCGAGTGCACACACACGGAGTGGGGTACCGACCGTCAGGGAAGAACCATTCCGAGTACTGTAGCATCATCTCCACGATGCCGACCACCTGGATAGAGACGCTGGACATCGCGTCCACGGAGCTGTGGCACGCGGGGGGGGGGGGACGCGGGAGGGGGGGGACACGGGGAGACATGATTGTGAGCTGTGTGCATACAAGTGTAGTGTATTTGGTGGTTGTGGTTTAGTTTTTGCTACAACGCGGTTATTCCATTCGGGAACACTTTTTCGCACAACGCCGGGCGCCCCCCCCCCCCCCGCCCCCCACCCCCCCCCCGCCCACCACCCCCCCGTTATAACGCAGAGAGACGGAGGAGCGAGCGGTGGAGCAGCGAGTCGCCCACCTGGAGGTGGGGGCCCACAGCAGGTTGGGCCCCAGCACGATGGCGATGTTGCTGGGAGTCATCTTGTTAAACTCCTGCTGCTCCGCGAGCCGCGCCAGGAACTTCATCAGGTACCTGCGGCGGCGGGGCAATGGCAACAACGCGCTAGCGCCGGCGGCAAAGCTCCCCCCGTGTGGCCCGTGCAAGGCCGTCGGGGCGAGCGCTGATGGCGTGCGCCGAGCGGGTAGCGCCTACGAAGGCCGCACGTTGATGGAGGGGGGTGAAGCACCGGGGGGAGGCCTTCCCCTCCCCGGTGCCGATGTGTGCGCGCCGCGCTGGGTACACGCTCAAAGCCGAGGTGGCAGTGGTGCGCTAACCGCGGCGCCACCGCTCCCCACACAGACACGCAGACATAGACGAAGCAACGCATATCAAAGCCTGCACGCAGACACGCAGACACCACCACTCGCAGGCTGGTGGGTCAAGTCAAGGCTGCGGCGTGGTCTGCTGGGCGAGGTCAAGGCTAGAGCGTGGTCTGCTGGGCGAGGTCAGGGCTACAGCGTGGCCTGCTGGGCGAGGTCAAGGCTAGAGCGTGGCCTGCTGGGCGAGGTCAGGGCTACAGCGTGGCCTGCTGGGTGAGGTCAAGGCTGCGGCGTGGTCTGCTGGGCGAGGTCAAGGCTGCAGCGTGGCCTGCTGGGCGAGGTCAAGGCTATAGCGTGGTCTGCTGGGCGAGGTCAAGGCTAGAGCGTGGCCTGCTGGGCGAGGTCAAGGCTGCAGCGTGGTCTGCTGGGCGAGGTCAAGGCTGCAGCGTGGCCTGCTGAGCGAGGTCAGGGCTAGAGCGTGGTCTGCAGGGCGAGGTCAGGGCTAGAGCGTGGCCTGCTGGGCGAGGTCAGGGCTAGAGCGTGGCCTGCTGAGCGAGGTCAGGGCTAGAGCGTGGTCTGCTGGGCGAGGTCAGGGCTAGAGCGTGGCTTGCAGGGCGAGGTCGAGATGGGGTCGTAGTTTGCCGAGCGAGGTCACTGCGCGGTCACTGCGAGGTCACTGCGAGGTCATCCCCTCACCGGAAGTTGGCCTTGTTCTCCTTGGGCAGCAGGTCGCACACCGACCAAAGCGCCTGCAGCCGCTCCTGCTGATCGGGCATGCTGGAGAGGAGTCACGCGGGGGTCACGCGGGGGTCACGCGGAGGTCACACGGGGGTCACGCGGGGGGTGTTGATGAGAACACAACAGGCGAGTGTGCGACAGAGGTGAGTGTGCGTGAGGTGAGTGTGTGTGAGGTGAGTGTGCATGAGGTGAGTGTGTGTGAGGTGAGTGTGTGTGAGGTGAGTGTGCGACAGAGGGGAGTGTGCGTGAGGCGAGTGTGTGTGAGGTGAGTGTGCATGAGGTGAGTGTGCGTGAGGTGAGTGTGCGTGAGGTGAGTGTGCGTGAGGTGAGTGTGCGTGAGGTGAGTGCGCCCCCCCCCCCACCCCCCCACCTGAACGCCTTGCTCCAGTCTGTGAAGAGGTGGAACGTCATGAGGGGCTCGGGCAGCTCACGGATATAGGACTTGAGAGCCCCTGCAGCCGCGGGGGGAGGGGGAGGGGGGCAACGGGGGGGGGGGGGGTGGGAGAGTGACGTTGTAAAGGGGGGAGGGGGAAAGAGGAGGGAGAGAGTCCGTCAAGGGAGGGCAGTGGTGGCGGTAGTCCTCGTGACTCTTCCGTCTGTGTGTCCGTGTGTGTGTGTCTGTGTGTGTGTCTGTGTGTCTGTGTGTGTCTGTGTGTGTGTCTGTGTGTCTGTGTGTGTCTGTGTGTGTCTGTGTGTGTGTCTGTGTGTCCATATGTATGTGTATCCGTGTGTCTGTGTATCCGTGTGTCTGTCTGTGTCTCCGTGTGTGTGTCAGTGTGTCCGTGTGTGTGTCTGTCTGTGTATCCGTGTGTGTCTGTGTATCCGTGTGTCTGTGTGTCTGTCTGTGTATCCGTGTGTCTGTGTATCCGTGTGTGTGTCTGTGTCTCCCTGTGAGTGTCTGTGTCTCCGTGTGTGTGTCTGTGTATCCGTGTGTGCGTCTGTGTATCCGTGTGTGTGCGTGTGTAGGTGTGTGTATCTGCCTCAGTGGCCCGTGATCACAAATCACTATTTAACTCCATCAAAAAAGTAACCTGCAGCGCCACACCTATTACCATCATTAGAGGAAAAAACGGTGATCCAATCTCCGACCCCCAGGAACAGGTTTGCAGATTTGCTGAGCATTTCTGTGAAGTCCTGGGGGAGGGAAATTCTCTCAGCCAGGAAAACATCATGGCACAAAGTGGTGATAACCCTGCTGAGGCTGCGGTGCCTCAAATATTGGAAGAGGTCACCCCCTGTGAGTGGCTGGCTGAGGTGCCAGCTGTTGAGGAAGTACTGAGGGCGATCCGGAGTCTGAGACCAGGGAAGGCATCGGGCAGAGATGATCTCCCAAGCGAAATGCTGAGGGAGGGTGGCGTTTGTGCACAGACTGCCCTATATGACATCATAACAACAGTCTGGACCACTGGACGGGTTCCGCAGGACTGGAAGGATGCCCTGGTGGTTCCCCTCTTTAAGAAGGGGGACCGTACCGACTGTAACAACTACAGGGGCATCTCACTCCTCAGTGTGCCGGGTAAGGTCCTGGCAAGGATTATTCAACATCGCCTTGCTAGGCACGCTGAGGAGAGGCTTGCGGAGCCCCAATGCGGTTTCAGGAAAGGGCGGTCCTGCACAGATGCCATATTTTCTGTCCGTCTGCTACAGCAGAGGTGTAGGGAATTCCAAAAAGACCTACATCTCTGCTTTATTGACCTGGTCAAGGCCTATGATACCATCAGTGGGACTGGGCTCTGGGTTGTTCTTCGTGCTTTCGGAGTCCCTGACCCTCTGCTCACGATCATTAAGGACCTTCATGATGGTGAGCGGGCCCGGGTAAAACTACGTGGCCGGGAGTCGGAGCCTTTCCCTGTACACCTTGGGGTGCGACAGGGATGTCCTCTGGCTCCCACATTATTTAACATCTATTTTGACCGCGTAGTTCGTGAAGCCTTCAATAGCTGTACCGGAGGAATTTCCATTTGGTACAGATATAATGGGAGGCTGATCGACGCCCGGGTGCGATCAAGGGATGGCTCCCTATTGGTCAACCACGTTATGTATGCCGATGATTTGGTAATAGCTGCTCATTCAGAAGAGGAGTTGGAGACGCTGCTGCTGAGACTGGAGCGTGCCACCAAGAGGTGGGGCCTTACCATCAGCCCCACCAAAACTAAGCACCTGCCTGGGTATTTTGTACCATCGGACACTCCACCCCCACAACTCCCAATTGGTGATGGGGCAGTTGTGGAGAGAGTGGAGAGTTTCCCATACCTGGGCAGTGTGCTTATGACCGGCTCCAGTCTATCAGCAGAGGTCTCACTCCGAATCAGTCGAGCGGCAATATCTTTTCATCGGTTGCGTAACGCTGTGTGGAAGCTACCTGGTCTGTCGCTCCGCACGAAGCTTCAGGTCTTCTCGGCCACGGTCATTCCCTCCCTTCTCTACGCTTGCGAGACGTGGACCCCCCTGGTGGAGCATCTTCGCCGGTTGGAAACATTTAGGCTGGCCTGCCTACGATCCATCCTGGGTTTAACCAGGCTGGATTGTGTGAGGAGCTCACAAATCCTTGAAAGATCTGGGCAAAGTCCCATCAGTGAGCTCCTCCGGCAGGCAAGGCTGCGTTGGCTGGGTCATGTAGCCCGCATGCCCAGCCACCGCATGCCTAAACAGCTTTTGTTCGGCCGGATCGAGGGGGCTAGACGGGCGCGGCACGGGCTGGAGAAGAGATGGAGTGATGTGGTACAGGAGGACGTGGAGCTGAGTGGACTTGCCGATGACTGGTACCAGCGGTGTCAAGATCGGCCTCAGTGGAGGAGGCTCGTGAAGGACGCTACTGGGCAGTTGGAGGCAGTCGCCCTCCAACAACAACGGAGGGCGGAGGAGCGACGCTCACAAGAACGAGCGGAGCGCCGGGTGGCTAAAGCACAGCAAGTTGGCACAGTAGGGGGCACAGGTGGTGCATCAGCCAGTCATCTCGGTCATCTCGGTCAGTCGACCCGTGGCACCTGGGTCTGCCCCGTGACCTCCTGCCAGCGGGCTTTCGACACTTCACGTGGCCTCAAGGTGCACTTGGCCTGGCACAAGCATCGTGGTGACGTCACCGCCACTTAGTGGCGAATGGCGGTTGTTGTTGTTGTTGTTGTATCTGTGTGCGTGCGTGCGTTGCTGTGTGTGTATGTGTATGTGTAGCTGTGTGTGTAGGTGCATGTGTATGTCTGTGTGTGTGTGTGTGTATCTGTGTGTGCTTGTGTAGGTGTGTGTATCTGTGTGTGTGCGTGTGTAGGTGTGCGTGTGTGTGCGTAGTGACCAGCGATGGCGTGCGGGTCGGGGGAGAAGTCCGACTCCACGATGCAGCAGTCGAGCGACGCTTTCAGCTTCTTCAGCTTCGAGTTGGCAGCCGCAATCCGGAACAGACCCTGCACACACACACACGTGCATACACACACACACACACGTGCATACACAGACACGTGCATTCACACACACGTGCATACACACACACACGTGCATACACACACACGTGCATACACACATACACACACGTGCACACACACACACACGTGCATACACAGACACGTGCATTCACACACACGTGCATACACACACACACGTGCATACACACACACGTGCATACACACACACACACACGTGCATACACAGACACGTGCATTCACACACACGTGCATACACACACACACGTGCATACACACACACGTGCATACACACATACACACACGTGCACACACACACACACACGTGCATACACAGACACGTGCATTCACACACACGTGCATACACACACACACGTGCATACACACACACGTGCATACACACACACACACACGTGCACACACACACACACGTGCATACACAGACACGTGTATTCACACACACGTGCATACACACACACACGTGCATACACACACACGTGCATACACACACACACGTGCATACACAGACACGTGTATTCACACACACGTGCATACACACACACACGTGCATACACACACACACGTGCATACACACACACGTGCATACACACATACACACACGTGCACACACACACACACCGTGCATACACACACACACACCGTGTCAACACACACGGTCTACCCCGTATTCTTGTACAGGGAAATTGAGTTTTCAGGTCCATACGACGTGACAGCCGTTTCAATACGGGGCGAATTTTTTTTTTTATATCTATTTGTGTTTGTCCCTTGTGATGGGACTTTGTCGGATGAACGTTGAGATGTATAAGGGGCACGGGGTGACCAATAAGGTCCGAGTTGGTCTGTGATGAGGTAGGGGCACTGATAAGGGGTTGACAGGTATGGATACAGTCAAACACACACGTACACATGCTCACCATCACTCACACACCTCACCCATCGCTCACCCATCCCTCACCATAGCTCACACACACACACGCTCACCATCGCTCACACACACACACACCTCACCCATCGCTCACCCATCCCTCACCATCGCTCACACACACACACGCTCACCATCACTCACACACACACACACGCTCACCATCGCTCACACACACACACACACGCTCACCATCGCTCACACACACACACACACGCTCACCATCGCTCACCATCGCTCACACACACACCTCACCCATCGCTCACCATCGCTCACACACACATCTCACCATCGCTCACACACACACACCTCACCTGTCCCTCACCATCGCTCACTCACACACACCTCACCCATCGCTCACCCATCGCTCACACACACACACACGCTCACCCATCGCTCACACACACACACGCTCACCATCGCTCACACACACACGCTCACCATCGCTCACACACACCTCACCCATCGCTCACCCATCGCTCACACACACACGCTCACCATCCCTCACCATCCCTCACCCATCGCTCACCATCGCTCACCATCCCTCACCATCCCTCACCATCACTCACCATCGCTCACCATCGCTCACCATCACTCACCATCACTCACCATCGCTCACCATCCCTCACCATCCCTCACCATCACTCACCATCACTCACCATCCCTCACCCATCGCTCACCATCGCTCACCATCACTCACCATCGCTCACCATCACTCACCCATCGCTCACCATCCCTCACCATCCCTCACCATCGCTCACCATCGCTCACCATCCCTCACCCATCGCTCACCATCGCTCACCATCACTCACCATCCCTCACCCATCGCTCACCATCACTCACCATCGCTCACCATCGCTCACCATCGCTCACCATCCCTCACCCATCGCTCACCATCACTCACCATCACTCACCATCACTCACCATCACTCACCACCCCTCACCATCCCTCACCATCACTCACCATCACTCACCATCGCTCACCCATCCCTCACCCATCCCTCACCCATCGCTCACCATCACTCACCATCACTCACCATCACTCACCATCGCTCACCCATCCCTCACCATCCCTCACCCATCGCTCACCATCACTCACCATCGCTCACCCATCCCTCACCCATCCCTCACCATCACTCACCATCACTCACCATCACTCACCATCACTCACCATCACTCACCATCACTCACCATCACTCACCATCGCTCACCATCACTCACCATCACTCACCATCGCTCACCATCACTCACCATCGCTCACCATCGCTCACCATCACTCACCATCACTCACCATCGCTCACCATCACTCACCATCGCTCACCATCGCTCACCATCACTCACCATCACTCACCATCACTCACCACCCCTCACCATCCCTCACCATCACTCACCATCACTCACCATCCCTCACCCATCCCTCACCCATCGCTCACCATCACTCACCATCCCTCACCCATCCCTCACCATCACTCACCATCACTCACCATCGCTCACCATCGCTCACCATCCCTCACCCATCCCTCACCCATCGCTCACCATCGCTCACCATCCCTCACCCATCCCTCACCCATCCCTCACCCATCCCTCACCATCCCTCACCCATCCCTCACCCATCGCTCACCATCGCTCACCATCCCTCACCCATCCCTCACCCATCCCTCACCCATCGCTCACCCATCCCTCACCCATCGCTCACCATCGCTCACCATCGCCCGCTCCCCGCCCTGGGCGCTCACCTCCTCCTGCAGGCCGCTGTCCATGAGTGCCACGACGCAGGCCTCGATGGGGAAGGCGATGTCCCGTCGGTTCAGGTGCAGGTGCTCCTCCAGCGGCTGCCCGTAGCAGGGACGCACGCAGTGCTCTGAGACACACGCACGCGAAGGCAAAGATCCCCCGTGTAGCCTTAACAGACTGTAGGGACAAGTGCTGTTAGCGAGCAGCAGCACCTGTGAAGGCCGGCACTGTGGCACACGAGATGGTGGGTGGCCAGCACCGCGCCCGGCCGCCTTTGTCTCCCCAGTGGCGATGTTTACTACGCACCTCACCAGGTACTCATTTGAGGCTGAGTCGACCTAGGAGAGGCCCAGGACCGGTTCTGATGATCTTCACTGGTGTTGGCTGTGAATGGGGATCGAACCCGGGACGCCGGGTTCGTAGCGCAGCGATGCGCTAACTGCGACACCACCGCTCCCCACGTCAAAAGACCATCACAACCACACACGGTCACACACACACACAATCCAAGGGCTGCAAGAGGGAGGGAGGTAGGGAGGGAGGGAGCTTCACCTCTCTCGGCCGTGATCTTGGGCAGGAGAGTCTCGATGACCGCCAGGGACCTCTTGTGGAATTCGGCCTGCGTCTCTAGGAGCTACACGGAGACACGGGGACACGCACACACGTCAACATGTCACACACCGCCACCATTGTGCATGTCTTTGTTGTGCGTGTGTGTTCGTGTATATGCGTGCGTGTGCATGGTTCAGAGAGCCGTAAGGCGCTGCAAGGATGGGTGGTGGTCGCGGGTTGCTGAGGAGATGGAGTCTGCCTCAGTGGCCCGCGATCTCCCAAGCGAAATGCTGAGGGAGGGTGGCGTTTGTGCACAGACTGCCCTACATGACATCATAACAACAGTCTGGACCACTGGAAGGGTTCCACAGGATTAGAAGGATGCCCTGTGGTGCTGGCCACCCGCCCCCTCGTGTGCCGTGCCGGTCTTCATAGGTGCTCGCTAACAGCACTTGCCCCTACAGTCTGTTCAGGCTAAACTGGGGGATCTTTGTCTTTATCTCTGTGTGCACACACGTGTGTACGTGCGTGTGTGTACGTGCGTGCGTGCGTGCATGCGTGTGTGCGTGCATACGTGTGTACGTGCCTGTGTGTACGTACGTGTGTGCGTGTGTATGTGCGTGTGTACGTGCGTGTGTACGTGCGTGTGTACGTGCGTGTGTACGTGCGTGTGCGTGTGTACGTGCGTGTGTACGTGCCTGTGTGTACGTACGTGTGTGCGTGTGTACGTGCGTGCGTGCGTGTGTGCGTGCGTACGTGTGTGTGTGTGTACGTGCACGTGTGTACGTGCGCGTGTGTACGTGCGTGTGTGTGTACGTACGTGCGTGTGTGCGTGTGTACGTGCGTGTGTGCGTGCGTGTGTGCGTGTGCGTGTGTACATGTGTGTGTGCGTCGCTCACCTTGACAAAGTAGTCGGCAAAGCCTTTCTCCTTGGCCACGAACTGGTAGAGCTCCGTGGCATACTGGTCCTAGCCATCCACACAGAACACCAAGACAAAGATCCCCCGTGTAGCCTTACAGACTGTTGGGGCAAGTGCTATTAGCGAGTACTTATGAAGGGCGGCACGGCACACGAGGGGGTGGGTAACCAGCACCATGCTCGGCCGCCTTTGTCTCCCCAGTGGCGATGTTTACACATCGCACCAGGTACTCGTTTGAGGCTGAATCGACCTTGGGGAGGCCCAGTACCGCTTCAAATAATCGTCACTGGTGGTGGCGTAGTAGTTAGCGCAGCACGGGGGACACAGAGGCAGAGAGAGAGACAGAGAGAGAGACACAGAGAGAGACATAGACACAGAGAGAGACACAGAGAGAGACACAGAGAGAGAGAGAGTAGGGAAGGCAAGTCACAAGCATCAGGCGCGGTTGGTGCGACTGGGCGAGCGCGCGATAGACGACACGGCCGGAGGGGCTGATGGGTAATGCTCGCGGCTCACGGCAACAGGGGCCTGGGTTCGCTTCCTCGCCCAAGCGGCTTGCTGTGCGTGTGTTGGGGTGCGACCAGAGAGAGAGAGCACATGGGGAGAGAGGCCTCAGGCTGTCTGGGTCTCCCACTCTCCTCCTCGTCGTTACTTCCTCCTTGGACTCTCGGTTCCTCGCCACGGCCGCTCCGCGTCCCCCCCCCCCCCCCTCCTCCTCCACTCCGCGTCTACGCCTCTACACCGTGACTCTGTGTGTGTTGAGTGGCACCCTGCTACTCACTACTCACTCACCTACTCACTACTCACTCACCCACTCACCTACTCAACTACTCACTCACCTAGTTTCCTACTCATCACCTACCCCACGACCTGGGGCTGTGGCGGTGAGGGGGGGGGGGAGGCAGCACTTCAAGGAGGGCGGCGGTGCGCACGAGGGAGGGGGGGGGGGTCAAGGTTCGCATGGAGAGCCGGCAGGCCGTAACCACTGGGGCGGACTTTGTACCGGGAGCGGCCTCCGCACGAGCGTTCAGTACGGCGGCAGCCGGCTTCTGTGAGACACAGCGGCGGCAGCAGCGGCAGCAGCAGCGGCAGCAGCGTCGCTGCCTCCCTGCGTGACGATACAGACTTGTGCCACACAGGGACAGCTGCCACTGGGGGTGCCCCCTAGGCGCTGCCGATGGGAGGGGAGGGGGTCGTGGCGCTGCTGCTGCCGACGGGGGGGGAGGGTGCGGCACCTTCATGATCTCCACTTTGTTCTCCTCCTCCTCCATCTCCTCGCGCAGCGCCTCCAGCTTGCTGGGCGTCATGGCCCCCACGTTGCCCTGCAGCACCTTGGAGGCCTGCTGGTACCTGCAGGGAGGGGGCAGGGAGGGAGGGGGAGGGGGGGGAGGGAGGGAGAAGTCCGTCAATCATGCCCGCACGTGCACACTCGCGCACACAAAGACAAAGATCCCCCATATAGCCTGTTGGGGCAAGTGCCGTCGGCGAGCACCAATGAAGGCCGGCACAGCTCACGAGGGGGTGGGGGGGGGTGGCCAACACCACGCTGTCTCCCCAGTGGCGATGTTGACAACGCACACACAAGCGCACACGCGCACACACACACACGCGCACACACGCACACACACACGCACGCGCGCGCACACGCACGCACACACACGCGCGCGCACACGCACACGCGCACACGCACGCACAAGCACACACACGCACACGCACACACGCACACACACGTGCGTGGATGTGGGTCGCGTGTCACTGGGTCCCACCTGGACTTGGCGCCCTCCATATCCAGCACCATCTTGCTGAGGTGTTTCCTCTGCTTCTGGATGTTGGGGATGTGCTCCTGCGGGGTCAGAGGGCACGGGGGGAGAGAGGAGGACGCTCAGAGGCGCAGAGCAGCCGGTGCCATCGCGGGTTCCAGCCCCAACCACAGCGTTTACACTGGGGGGGGGGGTCTCGTAGACTCACACAGAGACCTACAGACTCATATAGAGACCCATAGACTCACACAGAGACCCATAGACTCACACAGAGACCCATAGACTCACACAGAGACCCATAGACTCACGTAGAGACCCATAGACTCACACAGAGACCCATAGACCCACACAGAGACTCACAGACCCACACAGAGACCCATAGACTCACACAGAGACCCATAGACTCACACAGAGACTCGTAGACTCACAGAGGGACCCATAGACTCACACAGAGACCCACAGACTCACACAGAGACCCATAGACTCACACAGATACCCATAGACTCACACGGAGACTCATAGACTCACACAGAGACCCATAGACTCACACAGAGACCCATAGACTCACACAGAGACCCATAGACTCACACAGAGACCCATAGACTCACACAGAGACTCATAGACTCACACAGAGACCTACAGACTCAGACAGAGACTCATAGACTCACACAGAGACCCATAGACTCACACAGAGACCCATAGACTCACACAGAGACCCATAGACTCACACAGAGACCCATATACTCACACAGAGACCCATAGACCCCCACAGAGACCCATAGACTCAAACAGAGACTTACAGACTCACACAGAGACCCATAGACCCCCACAGAGACCCATAGACTCAAACAGAGACTTACAGACTCACACAGAGACCCATAGACCCCCACAGAGACCCATAGACTCAAACAGAGACTTACAGACTCACACAGAGACCCATAGACTCAAACAGAGACTTACAGACTCACATGGAGACCCATAGACCCCCACAGAGACCCGTAGACTCACAAAGAGACTTACAGACTCACACAGAGACCCATAGACTCAAACAGAGACTTACAGACTCACATGGAGACCCATAGACCCCCACAGAGACCCATAGACTCACACAGAGACTCATAGACTCACACAGAGACCTACAGACTCACACAGAGACCCATAGACCCCCACAGAGACCCATAGACTCACACAGAGACCCATAGACTCACACAGAGACCCATAGACTCACACAGAGACCCATAGACACACACAGAGACCCATAGACCCCCACAGAGACCCATAGACTCACACAGATACCCATAGACTCACACAGATACCCATAGACCCCCACAGAGACCCATAGACTCACACAGATACCCATAGACTCACACAGATACCCATAGACTCACACAGATACCCATAGACTCACACAGATACCCATAGACTCACACAGATACCCATAGACTCACACAGATACCCATAGACTCACACAGATACCCATAGACTCACACAGATACCCATAGACTCACACAGATACCCATAGACTCACACAGATACCCATAGACTCACACAGAGACCCGTAGTGGTAGAGACGGTGGAAACCGTTTCATTAAATCCGTGGGGGTCTGTGGGGGTCTGTGGGGGGTACATGGGGGTCAGAGAAGGTCCGTGGGAGGGGGGGGGGGGTCCATTGAGGGGGGTTGGTGGGGATGCATGGGAGTCCGTGGGGGGTCCGTGGGGGGGGTTCCATGGGGGAGGGAGGGAGGGAGAGGGGGAGGGAGGGAGGGGGTGAGGGGGGGAGGGAGGGAGGGGGTGAGGGGGGGAGGGAGGGGGTGAGGGGGGGAGGGAGGGGGGGAGGGAGAGGGGGAGGGAGGGAGGGGGTGAGGGGGGGAGGGAGGGGGTGAGGGGGGGAGGGAGGGAGGGAGGGGGTGAGGGGGGGAGGGAGGGGCGGAGGGAGAGGGGGAGGGAGGGAGGGGGTGAGGGGGGGAGGGAGGGGGTGAGGGGGGGAGGGAGGGAGGGTGGGAGGGAGGGAGGGGGGGAGGGAGGGAGGGGGTGAGGGAGGGGGGGAGGGAGGGAGGGGGGGAGGGAGGGAGGGAGGGTGGGAGGGAGGGAGGGGGGGAGGGAGGGAGGGGGTGAGGGAGGGGGGGAGGGAGGGAGGGGGGGAGGGAGGGAGGGAGGGAGGGAGGGAGGGGGGAGGGAGGGGAGGGAGGGGGAGGGGTGGGAGGGGGGGTGGGGGCCGTCACCTCGGCTAGGAGGTTGATGGGCTCCAGCACGTTGGTCTCCACGCTGCACTCCATGTTGCACACCTCCATCGCCAGGTTCAGCTGCGCCTCCCCGCACTGCTGCAGCACCTTGCTGTGGGACGCAGCAGCAGCAGCGGTAGGAGAAGCAGCAACGACAGCAGCAGCAGCATTAGAAGCAGCAGTAACAGCAGTAGCCGCACAAACAGCAATAGCCGCACAAATAGCAGTAGCAGCAGCAGTAGCAGCAGCAGCAGCATTAGAAGCAGCAGTAACAGCAGTAGCCGCACAAACAGCAGTATCCGCACAAATAGCAGTAGCAGCAGCAGCAGTGGCAGCAGCAGTAGCGGCAGCAGCAACATCAGCAGCGGCAGCAGCAGCGGCAGCAGCAGCGGTAGCAGCAGTGGCAGCAGCAGCAGTGGCAGCAGCAACAGCAGCAGTAGCAGCAGCAGCAGCAGTAGCAGCAACAGCAGCAGTAGCAGCAGTGGCAGCAGCAGCAGCAGCAGCAACAGCAGCAACAGCAGCAGTAGCAGCAGCAGTAGCAGCAGCAGTAGTAGCAGTAGCAGCAGACACCTCGACTGGGGCTCCGCTGACATGGCGCGCCGTCTGTGTTGGCGGCGGAAACGGCTCTCCCGCAGACTCGGTGATTTTAATGTTTCCGATGAACAGTTATTTCGGTGAACAGTTAGTTTCCGTGGAATGGATAAATCAAACTCGTGAGCCGAGGGACGGCTGCAATTGCTTCCCCCGCGGCAGAGGTCGCAAACGGGTTTTGATTCCTTACCCGTACCCGTACCCGGCCGCACCAGGGTCGCAAATGGGTACCCCGGCCGGGTACGGGTACCCGTTCCCTACCCGTATCCTACCCGAAATGAGTGACAAACAGTTACTCACCAGTGACTCACGGCCTACCCGTACCCGGCCGCACCAGGGTCGCAAACGGGTACCCGTACCCGTACCCGGCCAGGTACGGGTAGCCGGGTATCGGGTAGGGTACGGGTATTGGGTACCCGGTTGCGACCTCTGCCCCGCAGCAGTCAACCCGCTCTGTGCTAACATTCTCAGAGCTGGAATTTACCCCCAAATTAAGCGCGGAACAACATTTTTGACGTGACACGGTTTTTTGGGCAATCATTGGTGACTGGGCCAAGAGCCTCAACTTCACTGCACTTGAGAACTCCGGTTTAATCACTGCTCAGCCTGTGTCAGTCCATGGGTCTCTACGTGAGTCAATGGGTCTGTGTGCGAGGGTATGGGTCTCTGTGTGAGTCTATGGGTCTCTATGGGAGTCTATATGTCTTTATCAGTCTATGGGTCTCTGTGTGAGTCTATGTGTCTCTGTGTGAGTCTATGGGTTTCTGTGTGAGTCTATGGGTCTCTGTGTGAGTCTATGGGTCTCTGTGTGAGTCTATGTGTCTCTGTACGAGTCTATAGGTCTCTGTGCGAGTCTATGGGTCTCTGTGTGAGTCTGTGTCTCTGTGTGAGTCTATGGGTCTCTGTGTGAGTCTATGTGTCTCTGTGTGAGTCTATGGGTTTCTGTGTGAGTCTATGGGTCTCTGTGTGAGTCTATGGGTCTCTGTGTGAGTCTATGTGTCTCTGTGCGAGTCTATGGGTCTCTGTGTGAGTCTATGGGTCTCTGTGTGAGTCTATGGGTCTCTGTGTGAGTCTATGGGTCTCTATGTGAGTCTATGTGTCTCTGTGCGAGTCTATGGGTCTCTGTGTGAGTCTATGTGTCTCTGTGCGAGTCTATGGGTCTCTGTGTGAGTCTATGGGTCTCTGTGTGAGTCTATGGGTCTCTATGTGAGTCTATGTGTCTCTGTGCGAGTCTATGGGTCTCTGTGTGAGTCTGTGGGTCTCTGTGTGAGTCTGTGGGTCTCTGTGTGAGTCTATGAGTCTCTGTGTGAGTCTATGAGTCTCTGTGTGAGTCTATGAGTCTCTGTCAACTGGGCTTAGACCATCAACTCAGTGCTCTTGAGAACCCAGTTCACGCTAGGGCAGGACCACGCCCCCCCCCCTCCCCCCGCCCCACCCCCCTCCTCCATGAAACGTGAATTCGGCCTCTAACTTTAGCTCCGGTAAATGTTTAACGTTCCTCATTTTTTATTTTTCCGCTTGCGGGCGACTCGGGGAAAAATTTGGCATACTCCTGCGGTGATGACGTCACGGGGCCCTAGAGGTCACGGGTGGAGGGGAGTGGAGAGGGCTCGCGTACGAAGGGCGTGAGCGAGCGCGTGTGTGCATGTGTGCGTGTGTGTGCGCGTGTGTGCGTAGTGCATGTCGGTTGTGTGTGTGTGTGTAACGCATGTCGGTTGTGTGTGTGTGGGTGTGCGGAGCGGTAGCGTCGCGGTTAGCGCTGCGGTTAGCGCTGCGGTTAGCGCTACGTTGCGCTACGAACCCTGTGACCCGAGTTCCATTCCCCGCTCACGGCCGACACCAATGACGATTATTCAACAGTCTGTTAAGGCTATACGGGGGATATTTGTATTTGTGTGTAGGTGTGTGTGCGTAGCTGTGTGTGTGTGTAGCTGTGTGTGTGTGTAGCTGTGTGTGTGTGTAGCTGTGTGTGTGTAGCTGTGTGTGTGTAGCTATGTGTGTAGCTGTGTGTGTAGCTGTGTGTGTAGCTGTGTGTGTGTAGCTACGTGTGTGTGTAGCTGTGTGTGTGTAGCTACGTGTGTGTAGCTATGTGTGTGCGTGCGGGCTCACCCAAAGGGCATGTCCTCGAGTGTGCGGTAGCTGTCCGACAGACCCACGGCGAGCACCGCCACCGGCACCCTCTTCTGTACCGCACACACGTTAACACACACTCACACGCGTTAACACACGCACACACGTTAACACGCACGCAAGTGTCAGCACACACACGTGGGTTAACACACACGGCACACACGCGTCAACACACACGGCACACACACGTTAACATACACGCACGTTCACACACACACGCGTTAACACACGCACACACGCGTCAGCACACAAGACACAACAACAACACCCGCAATTTTCCACTAAGTGCCAGTGACGTCACCACGGGGCCTGTGCCAGGCCAGGTGCACTTTGAGACCACGTGAACATGCAGCAAAGACAAAGATCCCCCATAAAGCCTTCACGGACTTTGTGGGGCAAGTGCTGTGAGCGAGCAGCACCTATGAAGGCCGGCACGGCACACGAGGGGGTGGGTGGCCAGCACCACGCCCGGCCGCCTTTGTCTCCCCAGTGGCGATGTTTACGCACCGCACCGGGTACTCATTTGAGGCTTAGTCGACCTAGGGGAGGCCCAGGATCAATAATCGTCACTGGTGTTGGTGGCCGCGAGCGGGAATCGAATTCGGGTCGGCCGGTTCGTAGCGCAGCGCGCTAAATGCTACACCACCACACACACCCCACACACACGCACACACCCAGGCATGCAGAGGCACGTACAGGCATGCCACAACGCCTGTTGAACCAGCAAAGGCTCACACACAGGCAGATATATACACAGACACATTGATAAACAACTGTTTACAAACGACACGATATCACAGCAGCTCTGACTCAGCCACTCACGCAGACGCTCACGTGCAAAGACAAATATCCCCCGTATAGCCTTTCACAGACTGCTGGGGCAAGTGCTGCGTGTGTGTAAAACATCGCCACTGGGGAGACAAAGGCGGCCGGACGTGGTGCTGGCCACCCACTCCGCCATGTGCCGTGCCGGCCTTCATAGGCGCTGCTCGCTAACAGCACTTGCCCCAACAGCCTATCAAAGGCTATACGGGGGATCTTTGTCTTTGTGCGAGGGGCGGTAGTGTGGCACGCTGTCTGCACGCAGCAGAGGGCAGCCCTGTCCCAGCCGCTCTGCCACGTGCGAGTGATGGTCGCCTTGTGACAGTCAGACCGATTCGTTTTCCATTCTCAGTGCCGGAAATTCCCAAAATTAAATGCAGAACCAAATGTAACGTGATTATTTTTTGTGTGCAGTCATCGGTGAATGGGCTTAGACCATCAACTCACAGTTCTGTGTGAGTCATTGGGTCTCTGTGTGAGTCTATGGGTCTCTGTGTGAGTCTATGGGTCTCTGTGTGAGTCTATGGGTCTCTGTGTGAATCTATGGGTCTCTGTGTGAGTCTATGGGTCTCTGTGTGAGCCATTGGGTCTCTGTGTGAGTCTATGGGTCTCTGTGTGAGTCTATGGGTCTCTGTGTGAGCCATTGGGTCTCTGCGTATCTCCATGTGAGTATTTTGGGGTTCTCCATGTGAGGCCCACTGAAGGCTATGGTTCTCCGTGTGAGTCTATGGTGTAAGGGTGTAGGCCTTCTGAAGGCTACGGGCTAAGGCTGTAGTTCTACCTAAGGCTATGGGTCTCCGTGTGAGTCTACGGTGTAAGGCTGTAGGCCTTCTGAAGGCTATGGTTCTCCATGTGAGTCTATGGTGTAAGGCTGTAGGCCTTCTGAAGGCTACGGGCTAAGGCTGTAGTTCTACCTAAGGCTATGGTTCTCCGTGTGAGTCTACGGTGTAAGGCTGTAGGCCTTCTGAAGGCTATGGTTCTCCATGTGAGTCTATGGTGTAAGGCTGTAGGCCTTCTGAAGGCTACGGGCTAAGGCTGTAGTTCTACCTAAGGCTATGGTTCTCCGTGTGAGTCTACGGTGTAAGGCTGTAGGCCTTCTGAAGGCTATGGTTCTCCGTGTGAGTGTACGGTGTAAAGCTGTAGGCCTGATTAAGACTACGGGCTAAGGCTGTAGTTCTACCTAAGGCTATGGTTCTCCATGTGAGTATACGGTGTAAGGCTGTAGGCCTGATTAAGGCTACGGGGTCTCCGTGTGAGTCTACAGGGTTAAGGCTGTAGGCCCGCTGAAGGTTCTGGGCATCTCCGCGTGTGGAGGTGGAGGTGGAAGCGGCATTCACCAATCTCTTATCGAGGTCGAGCCCCGGGGTTCCGTGGAGGCAGGCGCTCAGCTTCTTGTGCGCGTGGTGGAACACCATCTTGAGGCTCTCCAGCCTCTTCTCCACCTACGCGGGCACACAGACAAAGGTCCCCCGCGTAGCCTTTAACAGACTGTTGGGGCAAGTGCTGTTAGCGAGCAGCAGTAACTCGTAAGGCAAGCACGGCACACGAGGGGGTGGGTGGCCAGCACCACGGACGGCCGCCTTTGTCTCCCCAGTGGCGATGTTTACACAGTACACTAGGCACTTGCTTAAAGCTGAGCCGACCTAGGGGAGGCCCAGGACCGGTTCAGATAATCGCCACTGGTGTTGTCCGTGAGCGAGAATCGAATTTAGACCGCTGGTTTCGTAGTGCAGCGCGCTAAGCGCTACACGACCACATACACACGAAGACACGCATGCACTCACAGTCAAGTCAAAGTCATTTCCTGCTCAAATGAATATTTACACAGTGACACACAGACACACAGAGCGACACAGTCAGTTAGAAACTCAGAGTGACATCAGCACACAGACTGTCAGATAGAGACACAAAGACAAAGATCCCCCATTGTAGCCTTAACAAACTGTTGGGGCAAGTGCTGTTAGCGAGCATATATGAAGGCCGGCACGGCACACGAGGGGGCAGGTGGCCAGCACCACGCCCGGCCGCCTTTGTCTCCCTACTGACTCGCACATAGACCCAAAGACTCAGAAACCCACAGACTCACAGAGACCTATAGACTCACAGAGAGAGGCTCATAGACTCACACAGAGACTCACAGACTCACACGGAGACCCACAGACTCACACAGACTCACAGACGCACACGAAGACCCACAGACTCACACAGAGACTCACAGACTCACACGGAGACTCAGAGACTCACACAGAGACCCACAGACTCACACAGAGACCCACAGACTCACACAGAGACCCACAGACTCACACAGAGACCCACAGACTCACACAGAGACCCACAGATTCACACAGAGACCCACAGACCCACACAGAGACCCACAGACTCACACAGAGACTGGCAGACTCTCTGTGTACACATAACCAACTTGGAGGTGAATCTAAAATCAGTCATTTCCTGCTCAACTGGGAACTGAACTTGAGCTGGGCCGGCAGCGGAAATGAAACATTCATTGGCGGGGGGCGAGTCTCGAGTCTAACCATAGCCAAGCCACTGTTAACTTCCCCACAAAGCGGTACCAATTTTAACGACCCCCCGCCAAGAGATGATGGGCTGAGTCATCACCACCCCTCCACTCCCCCACCAGGATTTGACCACGGGACCTTCCGCAGAAGGGGACTCTGTTTCGTGTACTGTACCGTACTGTACTTCAAGTGAGTGACTTGTGGTGTCGTTTGTAAGATTTGGCAAAATTTGGACGGTGTTCTGAGTTTGTGATGATGGGGGATGGTGTGTGTGGTGATGGTGATGGTGTGTGTGGTGATGGTGATGGTGTGGTGATGGTGATGGTGTGGTGATGGTGTGTGGTGATGGTGTGTGTTGATTGTGATGGTGTGTGTGGTGATGGTGTGTGTGGTGATGGTGATGGGGTGTGGTGATGGTGTGTGTGGTGATGGTGTGTGGTGATGGTGATGGTGTGTGTGTGGTGATGGTGTGTGTGGTGATGGTGATGGTGTGTGTGGTGATGGTGATGGTGTGGTGATGGTGATGGTGTGGTGATGGTGTGTGGTGATGGTGTGTGTTGATTGTGATGGTGTGTGTGGTGATGGTGTGTGTGGTGATGGTGATGGTGTGTGGTGATGGTGTGTGTGGTGATGGTGTGTGGTGATGGTGATGGTGTGTGTGTGGTGATGGTGTGTGTGGTGATGGTGATAGTGTGTGTTGTGATGGTGATGGTGTGTGTGGGGATGGTGTGTGTGGTGATGGTGACGGTGTGTGTTGTGATGGTGTGTGTGGTGATGGTGTGTGTGTGGTGATGGTGTGTGTGGTGATGGTGTGTGTGGGGATGGTGTGTGGTGATGGTGTGTGTGGTGATGGTGATGGTGTGTGTTGTGATGGTGTGTGTTGTGATGGTGTGTGTGGTGATGGTGTGTGTGTGGTGATGGTGTGTGTGGTGATGGTGTGTGTGGTGATGGTGATGGTGTGTGTGGTGATGGTGTGTGTGGTGATGGTGTGTGTGGTGATGGTGTGTGTGGTGAGTGTGGTGATGGTGTGTGTGGGGATGGTGTGTGGTGATGGTGTGTGTGGTGATGGTGTGTGTGGGGATGGTGTGTGGTGATGGTGTGTGTGGTGATGGTGATGGTGTGTGGTGATGGTGTGTGTGGTGATGGTGATAGTGTGTGGTGATGGTGTGTGTGGTGATAGTGATGGTGTGTGGTGATGGTGTGTGTGGTGATGGTGATAGTGTGTGTGTGGGGATGGTGTGTGGTGATGGTGTGTGTGGTGATGGTGATGGTGTGTGTGTGGGGATGGTGTGTGGTGATGGTGTGTGTGGTGATGGTGATGGTGTGTGTGTGGTGATGGTGTGTGGTGATGGTGGGTGGTGATGGTGATGGTGTGTGTGTGGTGATGATGTGTGTGTGGTGATGGTGATGGTGTGTGGTGATGGTGTGTGTGGTGATGGTGATAGTGTGTGGTGATGGTGTGTGTGGTGATGGTGTGTGTTGTGATGGTGATGGTGTGTGGTGATGGTGATAGTGTGTGGTGATGGTGTGTGGTGATGGTGATGGTGTGTGGTGATGGTGATAGTGTGTGGTGATGGTGTGTGTGGGGATGGTGTGTGGTGATGGTGTGTGTGGTGATGGTGATGGTGTGTGGTGATGGTGTGTGTTGTGATGGTGATGGTGTGTGGTGATGGTGATAGTGTGTGGTGATGGTGATAGTGTGTGGTGATGGTGTGTGTTGTGATGGTGATGGTGTGTGGTGATGGTGATAGTGTGTGGTGATGGTGTGTGTGGGGATGGTGTGTGGTGATGGTGTGTGTGGTGATGGTGATGGTGTGTGGTGATGGTGTGTGTTGTGATGGTGATGGTGTGTGGTGATGGTGTGTGTGGTGATGGTGATAGTGTGTGGTGATGGTGATAGTGTGTGGTGATGGTGATAGTGTGTGGTGATGGTGTGTGTTGTGATGGTGATGGTGTGTGGTGATGGTGATAGTGTGTGGTGATGGTGTGTGTGGGGATGGTGTGTGGTGATGGTGTGTGTGGTGATGGTGATGGTGTGTGGTGATGGTGTGTGTTGTGATGGTGATGGTGTGTGGTGATGGTGTGTGTGGTGATGGTGATAGTGTGTGGTGATGGTGATAGTGTGTGGTGATGAACCCTACCTTGAGGAGTTCATCGCTAAGGACCTCTGTCTTCTCAGTCCTGCACACGCACACACAAAGACAAAGATCCCCCATGTAGCTTTAACAGACTGTTGGGGCAAGTGCTGTTAGCGAGTAGCACCTGTGAAGGCCGGCACGGCACACAAGGGGGGTGGGTGGCCAGCACCACGCCCGACCGCCTTTGTCTCCCCAGTGGCGATGTTTACACATCTCACCAGGTACTCATTTGAGGCTGAGTCGACCTAGGGGAGGCCCAGGACCGATTCAGATAATCGTCACCACCGGTGTTTGCCGTGAGCGGGAATCGAACCCGGGTCGCCAGGTTCGTAGCGCAGCGCACTAACCGCTACACTCCCGCTCCCCCATATACACACGTACACACACATACGTACACACATATACACACGTACACACACATACACACACATACACACACGTACACACACGTACACACGCGTACACACGCACAGGCTGAAAAGCAATACTGTCGTAAAAACCGGAATATGTGGCGCTGTACGGATCGTAAAGCCCACCCGGCCTGCACACTCACGCACGGCCAGGCAGTCGGACCACGCGGCGCCACATCCAGCCAAACACCTTCTCACTTCCTCTGCCCCGGGGCCCCATTCACTCGGGGACAGCACCACCAGCACCACCAGCACCACCACCAGCACCACCAGCACCACCAGCACAGCAGCACCACCAGCACCACCAGCAGCACCACCAGCACCACCAGCAGCACCACCAGCAGCACCACCAGCACCACCAGCAACACCAGCACACCAGCACCACCACCAGCCCACCAGCACCACCAGCACCAGCACCACCAGCAGCACCAGCAGCACCACCAGCACCACCAGCAGCACCACCAGCAGCACCACCACCACCACCAGCACCACCAGCAGCAGCAGCACCACCACCACCAGCACCACCAGCAGCATCACCACCAGCACCACCAGCACCACCAGCAGCACCACCAGCACCACCAGCACCACCAGCAGCAGCACCACCACCACCACCAGCACCACCAGCAGCAGCAGCACCACCACCACAGCACCACCAGCAGCACACCAGCACCACCAGCAGCAGCAGCACCACCACCACCAGCACCAACCAGCAGCACCACCAGCACCACCAGCATCACCAGCCACCACCAGCAGCAGCACCACCACCAGCACCACCAGCACCCCAGCAGCACCACCAGCACCACCAGCACCACCACCAGCAGCACAACAGCAACCACCAGCACCACCAGCACAGCAGCAGCAGCACCACCACCAGCACCACCAGCACCACCAGCAGCACCACCAGCACCACCAGCAGCACCACCAGCACCACCAGCAGCACCACCAGCACCACCAGCAGCACCACCAGCACCACCAGCACCACCAGTACCACCAGCACCACCAGCACCACCACCAGCACCACCAGCAGCAGCACCACCACCAGCAGCACCACCAGCACCACCAGCACCAGCAGCAGCAGAAGCCACCACCACCAGCACCACCACCAGCACACCAGCAGCACCACCAGCACCACCAGCACCACCAGCACCACCAGCAGCACCACCAGCACCACCAGTACCACCAGCACCACCAGACCACCACCAGCACCACCTAGCAGCAGCACCACCACCAGCAGCACCACCAGCACCACCAGCACCAGCAGCAGCAGAAGCACCACCACCAGCACCACCAGCAGCACCACCAGCACCACCAGCACCACCAGCACCACCAGCAGCACCACCAGCACCACCAGTACCACCAGCACCACCAGCACCACCAGTACCACCAGCACCAAAAGCACCACCACCAGCACCACCACCAGCAGCAGCAGCAGCACCAGCACCACCAGCAGCATCACCACCAGCACCACCAGCACCACCAGCACCACCAGCACCAGCGCCAACAGCGCCGACAGCACCACCAGCGCCAACAGTGCCGACAGCACCGACAGCGCCGACAGCGCCGACAGTGCCAACAGCGCCTGCTGTTAGAGCCCCACACCAAGCAAGCCCCTTTCGCAGTCGCCCGTCGTGGCGACCAGGAACCCGGGCAGCAGCTATAGAAGAGTGGTAAGGAGGCGCCTGAACCGTCGGTGAGTGAGCGGTGCCACTCCCGAGCGGTGGATCATCGGTCACCCTGACTGCTGAGTGGACGAGTGAGTGGGCAGGTGAGCAACTGGGTCGGTGAATGAGCGAGTGAGTGGGCGAGTGACTGGGCGAGTGACTGGGCGAGTGACTGGGCGAGTGACTGGGTGAGTGACTGGGTGAGTGACAGGGCGAGTGACTGGGCGAGTGACTGGGCGAGTGACTGGGCGAGTGACTGGGTGAGTGAATGACTGCGTGAGTCAGTGGGTGGATGAATGAGTGAGAGGGTAAATGTATGGGTGAATGAATGAGTGACTGGGTAAGTGACTGGCTGAGTAACAGGTTGAATGAGTGAGTGAGTGACTGGGTGAGTGAGTGTGCGAATGACTGGGTGAGTGAATGACTGGGTGAGTCAGTGGGTGAATAAGTGAGTGACTGGGTAAGTGACAGACTGAGTGACAGGTTGAGTGAGTGGGTGAGTGAGTGGGTGAGTGAGTGGGTGAGTGACTGGGTGAGTGACTGGACGAGTGAGTGAGCGGGTGGCTGCGGAGACTCGGCAAGTGCTGGATCATCAGTAAGCCGACTGCCGCTTGACTCTGATGTCTATCGGGCGCAGCAGTGGACTGCTGGGTACTGCACTCCACATGCAGCAGCAGCAGGGTTCCAACGTCGGCCGCGTCTCTGCTTTGTACAGCAGCAGTCCTAGTTTGTACTAGAGGTGTTTTGGGGTCAGATCGCGTGAGTATATAAATGTTGTGCCGTTAAACTCTCCACCACCCGACACGGCCAATTCGTAAGGTCTGTCACGTAAACGGAACGTGTCGTTACGAGTAAAGCCCACCGCTGTGTTGCAGAGCCAATCAACAACATTTACAATCTACTAATGGGCTGTGTCGGGTGGTGGCGGGTTTAACGGCACAACATTTATATATTGACACTATCTAACCCAAAAAAAACACCAATAACACGGATGATATTTGTCGCGAAAGCCGACGTGTTAAACAAGAGACCCCGTTGTTCGGTGTTCACGAAGGATTTGGCGAGGAGGGGAAAACCCACGGCTTGCTTAGCCGCACGAGGAACGCAGCTGTTCCAGCTCCGACGGGGACCGCTGTGCCAAGCGGATTCGTGGCTTCGCTGTGACTGAGAAGACCATTGTTGGATATGATGCCGAGGTCAGAGCAGGTGGAGCTGCTGGAGGGGAGGAGGTGCCGGGGAAGAGTGAGTATCGGAGTGAGTGGCCCTGCGGTCACCTCACTCCCATTGCTTCTCCCTTGGAACCAAAGGCAAAGATCACTTGTACAGCCTTCACAGACTGTTGGGGCAAGTGCTGCTAGCGAGCGGCACCTACGAAGGCCGGGTGGTGTGACCAGCACCGGTGGCGATGTTTACTACGCACCGCAAAAGGAACTCATTTGCGGCTGAGTCGACCTATGGGAGGCCCAGGACAAGTTCAGATATTGGTGGCCGTGAGCGGGAATCAGACCCGGGTCGCCAGGTTCATAGCGCAGCGTAGCGCTAACCGCTACACCACCGCTCCCCACGCACACAACCACCCAACATCGCCCAGGCAGGCTCACAATGGCAGGGCGCTGGTGGATATAATCCCATGATCCTCTGGGGGGGCAGTATCCCATGATGCTCTGGGAGAGGCACTATCCCATGATCCTCTGGGAGAGGCACTATCCCATGATGCTCTGGGAGAGGCACTATCCCATGATCCTCTGGGAGAGGCAGTATCCCATGATCCTCTGGGAGAGGCATTATCCCATGATGCTCTGGGAGAGGCAGTATCCCATGATGCTCTGGGAGAGGCAGTATCCCATGATGCTCTGGGAGAGGCAGTATCCCATGATGCTCTGGGAGAGGCAGTATCCCATGATGCAGCAGCCTGATTGCCACCACCACCACCACGTGCTGCGTCCAGCTGCTTCCGGTGCCTTTCACACAGTTGCACCCCCCCCCCCCCCCCCCCATTGAAACCGCAGTGGCATAAAAACTTCTATTTCTGGGGGATGGGGGGAGGGGAGGATGGTTGGGGGAGGGGGCAGGGGCAGGGCAAGGGGGTGGGGGCTGGAGCGAGCGGCTCGCAAACGAAAAGTCGCGAGGTCAAATCCTGATTGGGGGGCGGGGGGGGTGACTAAGCCCATCATCCCCCCGTCCAAAGGGGGGGGGAGTCGATAAAAAAATGCGCACCACTTTATCGGAAAAGTCACCAGGAGTTGTCCTGTGGACATACTCGCCCTCGCCATAGGAACGTGGATTTTCCACCACTGGCTCTGCGGGGCTGCGGACACGTGACGCTCGGTCGAACGGCTGAACTAAACCAAAACAACTTTACATTTTATTGTACCGGGTGCAAGGCCCCGACCGAGCTACTTAGCTCCGTTCACGGACGTGACCTGGCCGCCGCAACCGATAGCATCTCAACAAAGTGGCCGATATCATCGTCGCTGCCGTCGCGTGGAAACTTACAGCAGCAGCAGCAGCCAAATGCTCCCTGCGACGAGTTTGACGGTCGGCTTCCCGGGACGGGAAATGCGAGAGGGGAGGGCGCCGGGGGGGGGGGGGGGGGCAGCTACGGGGCAGGGGGCCCACCCGGCGAAACCCACGGTGCCACCAACGCCACCGGCGACGATTGTCTGAACCGGTCCTGGGCCTCCCCTAGGTCGACTCAGCCTCAAATGAGCACCTGGTGCCGCGTGTAAAAACATCGCCGCTGGGGCGTGGTGCTGACCAAGCCTCCCTCAACTTGTTTGGGACTGCTTCTTGTGTTTAGTTTGGCCTTCCCCGCGACTCCGATTATACACTGGTCAACACACTTTTTCTGGCATAAGCTATTCCATCGGTTTTAAGGTAATTTTGGGGTGCTGATTCCAAATCTGGCATCAGTTTTTGTCTATCACATCAGTTTTTTGAGATATCAAATATTGCATTTTCAATAAAAACTG